GAAAACGGAACACACATTTTAAAATATAAATAAATACATTTAGCCATTTTTATTCAAGAACCCAGAGAACTGCTTTCAAAGCAAATGCTTCTTTGAACCCCTTTCTAAATTCTTTCATAAATACTTACTAGTTTGATTGTCACTTAATGCAGCACCTCAGTGTTTGCTGGTGGTGGTGATGGAATTTCACATAATAGTCTCTCGATAAATTATATATCCTATTCCACTAAATAATGTTTCCCTGAGGAAACCCAAGCAGCTTACAAAATACTGCTGAACACTCACAACAAAACCTGTGAAGTATTTTATTTAAGAAAAAAAAGGAATGTAGTGTTATGACACAGGGGAAAAAAAACTATGCAAAAAAGTCACATGGAAAGAAAGTATTTTAATTTTTAAAATCCAAGTTTGTTTAATTTCTTGTGAACTGTTTAACACTGTTTTAAATATCCTGAATATCTGTACCAACAAAGTTCATCCCCAGTGTTTCCACAGGAGACATTAAAATTAAAAATCAAATTATACTCTTTTTTTCCTTTGACCAAAGTAGTCTTTTTCTCAGTCCTTTTTGTGCAAAAATAGTACAAGAGCAATTCAAATGGAAACGCTGAAATGACATGCCAACATTTCAGGGCACATATAAAACACTCAGAATAATTCATGAAATTATTATATTCTAAAGTATTACTAGCAGTCACTTTGAGATTAGTTCTGTACATCTACTCACACGGATGCAATTTTCCTAGACCTCTGAAAAATAAACAGGCTCATTGGTCTCTTTTGGTGTCCACACAATAGGCAAGATAGGTTTACAATAGTGTTTAAATCAAACTAGGCATCTACAATCTCCTGACTCCACCACATTCAAAACAAAAGTCAAAGTTCATTTGGCTGTCTTGAAATCACTCCCATAAACCAACTACGGTTCACTGGATCTAAACATTTCTCAGAAATGTGTCATTTTATATAATTTCACCTAAGTGATGATTTGGGGATCCTTTAGAAATGGTTAACGCCTAAGAACTTTATCAAAATGAGTAACTGAAATAAAGTGCTTGTTATATTTCAAAATGATGCTTTAGACTGTGGTATGTTTGTTTTAAAGGTGTGTGCTATTCCTTCCGTAAAGGATCCCCAGGCATGAGAGTTGGGTCTTCTCACCTGTCTCATAAAGCAGCAGCACTATCTTTTGGTAGGCTGACAATAGGCACATTACCCATGCGGATGAGGCTATACTAGTGCTATGGCAAAAAGGGAAGTAAATTAGAAAAGTGGGAGGCATGTAGAGGGTTCCTATTATACTCAGTTATATACAAATATATTAAATATACTATAAAAATAGTCGATTCTATTTCTTTGCAATTACTTCAGAAGCTCCTTTTAGAAGAATGCTCACCCAATCCAAACTTAAAAGGTTCTCTTTCTCCAAACACTTAAAATGGCAAGTGCCTCTGTGCTGTTTCTTCTCTACCATTCAAAAATTCCAATCAGCTTACTCCTGGCTATATTCACTCAGCAACATTAATATCCAGTGTTAACCCCTTCCAACAAGGACTCCTGTGGGATTAAGACAGGGCCACAGGTAACTGGAAAGGCTATAGACTTAAATGAGTTTTACACAAATATTCATCAACAAACTTTCAATTACCAAAGAAACAGAAAAAAGAAATACTAAAGTAAAATGCTATTTGCATTCCACTTTTAAAAAGTTTGCCTCAATGTAGTGGAAACATTTTAAAACATGTTGCGTAGTATCCAGTTTAAAAGAATTTTCACTTGTCTGCGTAGAGTACTTACTATTTTAAGGATCCCTTTCTAAGGCTTCTTGAACAAGGCTTCCCCCTTCAACAGAGTGCTCGTGATAGAGCTGGACTGCTGCAGTGCTCCTGGCGTCAAGCAGGCTGCTTTAAGGCAATGACCAACAACTATAGCACTCCTCAAGAATCCAAACATTTTCACTATTCTGCACCGAATATTCCTTAACAAACTATTCAAAATCACTGGCATCTTTTTATTACGAATACATTCCTAAGCCAGATATAAATGACAAAGGAGAGCACGGCACTCTCAAGTTACCCCCAGAATTTAGGATGCTCGGAGACTAGACCCCACTATTTACTCACATGCTACCTGCATCTCCCACACTTGTTCCTCCAACATGTTCCACTGAAAAAACAGAGTACGTTTTAAGTGTCTGGGTTCTGGTTTGACACCACTCTCAGGAGCCACTTCATTAACACTTGTAGTTCTCACTTGCATTTGTTAAGCAATACTGACTCCCCCAATACCATGTTAACTCCCACGTCCAAAGCATGGTAACTGCAGAGTAGCTAGCATTTTTTATGAACCTCAATGGTTTCTTACCTAAAAAGTACCACCCAGAATAAATGTTTTTAAGAAAAATGAATATCTGAGAGTAAAGCAGAGGGAAGTTTTTTTTTTTGTTTTTTTTTTTTTTTAAGGAAGCTGGAAGGTTCTATTTGGTATCTTTAAATCACAGACTAGGGATTTTAACTTACAGCTTTGGCTATAGACATGAATGAAGAACAGACACTGCTGAATCTTCACTTGAATGCTCAAGTTTCATGGGGTGGGGTGGGGTGGGATAGCTTTGCAACCCAAATTTAAGAGAAGCAGGAGGAAAACAAACAGCATATAAGAGGCTGCTTTCCACCATTTCAGACTGACAGAAAAGCAGCTAGCTGCTCCTTTAAATTAGCAATGGTTAATTCCAAGCAGAAAAAAAGATGAGCTATGAAGAGCAGTAAGAATTATAAAGGAAAAATGCAATTTTCCCCCCAACTATTTGTGGACATGGGAAATACTTGAAGGGGCTGGAGTACGACAATGCGAGTAAACAGTTTATATGTTTACCTGGGGCTTGTCTTATGCTTTGCTGCTGCCAACCTAACTATGTAGTACTCACAGTTTTTTTAAGTACAATATGTAGAGGATAGGCCTTAACATAGTTGTTTTTCATATCTTTTGTTAGCTAAATCCATATCACTAGATACTGCCAATTAACAAATGAGGCACGACTCAGATATATATGGAATGGCTTAAGGTCAAGAAAGGCAATTTGAAAGGGGAGAGAAACGCTATTGCCATATCCTACAACATCCACCTTGTCTGTATGTGCATATGGTCACGTACATACATTTTCTCACAACTATTCTTGATATTCATGGGAATGTGGGAAATCTCTACTGGATGGTCATTTAGCTAGAAGAGCTCCTTGATATGTTAATTACTGATTGGTATCTAGTCACACTTCTGTAGAAGGGTAAGTAGCAATTTTCTTTGGTTTTCTTTTTCAACATTAATGTTCAAATTAATTGTGGCCAGGTAGAATTTTCTGCAGAAAGACAAAGTGTATGCCTTAAGGATAATAGCAAAGCAGAGGACAGAGAAGTCTTGCGAACTGGCTTAGTGTTCCCCTGACCTCTTTACCTAGCAATTCTGCATTAGGTTATTTTCATTATTCAGAACCTTTTCTGTTGGACAACCTAAAAACTGTTACACATTTTCTTTTGAGATCAATTTTGATTTATTACACTTGTCCTTCCTTTCCTCAGTAATAACATTTTTTATATTCTAATAAGGTATTTTCTAAATTTTTGTTCTATCACTATAAATTTTATTAGTACCATAAAATCTATAAAATGCTTTTTAAAATGTATGTAACTGGTATTAGAATTTATTACTTTTAGAATATGATATTGCCAAAGGAAATCTTAGTTCACGTTTAGAAGGCATGTGAGTTACAATATTCTAGTGTTGTAGTGAAAGCATAGCCAAATCTACCTCTTCTTTTTTCTTTGTAGGAATATCAAGATCATACTGAGAAATACTTACTGGTAATTCTTAAATGACTATTTAACTTTAAAGAAAAATGCTGATTTAGGAAACAATTTTAAGATCACATTAATAACTATGATAGTGTTAAGTTGTCATCTTTCATTTCTAAATTATTTGTACCTCCAGTCCATGAGACTGATAGCAGTCTTCAAAGGAACTTACTAAGAGAATAATAATGACACTGACACCCACATGCTGTTAAAAATGTACTAAGGTTTCAAAACTGCTACAGAAACCAGACAATGAGTTCAAGATGGTGAGTTATCACCTGAATTAAAATCAAGGCACTATGGGGTTTTTTCCCCTCAAATAACCCTGAATCATTTCTGACTAAAAGAAGCATTGAAATTGTGAAGGATAATAAAAAAGATTTCAACAAATCCCAAAAGTTAAAATTCCCATGATTGAGAATGTTAAAAAGTGCCTAAGATGTTTTGTGTGCAAATTTTACCTCTGTAACCTGAAACATTCTTGAAATTACTTTCAGGCTTGTTGAAAACCATTTACACAAATATTTCCAGCTATGAACTATATCAAAATATGCAATCAAGACTCCCAACCACCTAAAATAAAGCAGTGCAAATCCTGTATTCAAAAATAATTGAAAAATAATGAAATGAGGGATATTTCTGAATAACTTGAAAATCCTGTTGTATCAATAATTTAACCTGAAAAAAAAAAAATCCATTCCCAGCAGCACATCATACCTCACTGAACAAACTGTGACATCACAGCCAAAGTATGAACAAAAAAACTTGTGCCCCGGAAAAGTGAATAGAACACTACTGTGTTGTAAACAAAAGGAAAAACAGAGGATGGATCAGTTTGCACATGGTGTCAGAATCTCAGGAAAGGTGCTCATACCTGTAAGGAAGAGATAACGCTTTCATGCAGCATACAAAATGTTTTGCTTTCTCTCCTTTTATCCAGACATACACGTATTTTTACATCATCTGTACATAGAGAATTGGAACCTACACAACATTCTTTTTTTTTTTTTTTTTTTTTTTTTTTTTTTTTTTGTATTTTTAGTAGAGACGGGTTTCACCATGTTGACCAGGATGGTCTCGATCTCTCGACCTCGTGATCCACCCGCCTCGGCCTCCCAAAGTGCTGGGATTACAGGCTTGAGCCACCGCGCCCGGCCTACCTACACAACATTCTGAAAGTAATTACTGTTCCATCATTATCTGAAAAGGGGGAGGGTTTGGGGAGGGGGTAGCTACCAAGTCTACTGGACTGTCTTCATGGCATCATTGTAAGCAAACCCCTGACATGGCAGTGGTATGTCCTCTCTAACACTTGATAAGAGGCACAGAACCACTAAAAGTTACTAACATTGTTAGTGCCTTTCTGATTCACTGGAGGTCATTTCATAGCTGAGCTTAACATTTGGCAATATATCCTTTCTCCATCAAAAAATATCCGGGCAACTAAAACACTGTCAGAATTGGCTATGCCCCTATGATTACCTCCTGCTGGCTGGTATTTAATGTACATCTGTAGCACTAGGCAGCATTTCTCTGCCAACTAATTCCAGGAACTAGAACACTCAACACTGGATCTCATGAAACTGCTGGAACTTTTCCTCTTTTCCTCAGGTCATTTGAGTAAATCTTAATGGGCCATCCCTTTCCTCCCTTGATGTCGGAGAGGAAGCGCATGTGCTACTGTGGTTGAACCTTGGAAGGGTCGGGCAAGCTGTCAGTCCTGTGTCGGCTGAGTTGCTGCTGTTGCTGAGACTGATGTTGCTGGTGATGTGACTGAGGGAAGGTGCTCTGTTGTAGAGGAAATGCAGCAGAGAGGATGAGCTGAGTTGAGGGATTCCCATGGAGCAACCTAGAAGTCTAAAAAACAAACGCATGATGCAGCATTGCTTTACTCCCTTTATGCCACCCACGTAAGATTTACTCACACTCTCCCCTGTCCATAGGGACAAAATCCTTAAAATTCTACATAATGCATATCATTTTTGCTCTCTTGATTTAAAAATTATACTTTGGAAAATGCTTAAGAGGGTATGAGAGAGTTTCATTTTTTAAAGGGACCTAAGCTGCAGATTTTATGGTATAGAAAGCAATCTATATCTTGAGCCAAATCATACATGTTCTTTCACTTTCTGTCCTAAAGAACCATATTTTAAATCATAAAATTTGAGTATAGTTATGACTATATGAAAACCAAATACTCTGAGGCCAAACAGACAATGCCTTCTGCACACAGGTTTGCTTGGCTGGTTAGAGCATCACACAGTTAAGTGGCCAAGAGCGTGGGCCCAGAGGTAGACCGAATGGTTCAAACTTGGGCTGCCCTACTTACCACATGTGTGACCTGGTCAAGCTGTTTACGTCTCTGGGCCTCAGTTTCTTTCTTTACAAAATAGGATTAACAGTGCCTACCACATTTTCTTAATAAAGATTAAATATTAATATTATTTAAAAGCACCATAAATATGAAGGCAAAGTTGGAACCACAGGTCTCATAAGAGGCAGTGTGGTATAAAGAAAAACAAAACAAAATCAAAAAAGGCACAGGGTTTGTAGGCAGAAGCCCTGCATTTGAGTTTTGCTCTGCCATTTACATTAAGTAAGCATGTGACTTTGGGCAAGATTCAAATATATGAGCCTCAGTTCCTTTCACTAAATTTTTGCTTCTGAAATACTGTTCATTATAACTCTCAGATACAAAAAAACAAAATGAAAAGAAAGTGAATTTTTATAGTGAAAGTCCTTCCCCATTACTGAGAGTACAACTTGATGCAGGGTTCTTAATTGCAAAATGTATCTGTGGTGGGCGGTTTTTGCAAATGTATATGAAAAGAAACATGGAAGATCACACACACAGAAGAACAAATCCTTGACAACCCTTAAAGACTACTACGCTTTGTCAAGGACCTTCAGAGTTTTCTTTCTCTGTTATTAGGAAAAGCTGTATAAGGCAAAGACTTCAGTATACTTATGAGCCTTATAAGATTATAACAGGAGCATGCTTTGGAACTCGGTATTACACGATTTACAAAAGCCAAATTGTTCACTACCTACATACAAGTGCGTTTATGAGGGCTATTGCCTATCTTATTTCTTTGTGGGTCCTATGTCTTTGGGATGCCATTTTATTTATTTTCTGAGAATGTTCATTATTATTTATTTTTTTTTGAAATTAAGTTTTGCTCTTGTTGCACAGGCTGGAGTGCAATGGAATGATCTTGACTCACCACAACCTCTGCCTCCCAGGTTCAAGTGATTCTCCTGCCTGAGCCTGCTGAGTAGCTGGGATTAGAGGCGCATGCCACCATGCCCGGCCAATTTTTTTGTGTTTTTAGTAGAGACGGAGTTTCACCATGTTGGTCAGGCTGGTCTCAAACTCCCAACCTCAGGTGATCTGCCCGCCTTGGCCTCCCAAAGTGCTGGGATTATAGGTGTGAGCCACCACACCTGGCCGAGAATGTTCATTCTTTTAAGAGTCTTTGTTCCTTGACAAAGTTAGAAGACTGAGATGTTAAGGCAAGTCCTCTCCTTTTTTTAAGCTTTTGCTTAATTCTCATTGGATATATTTTCCCTACATAATACTTTAGAACTTGTTTTAAATTCTTGTTATGACTTTATTTGTAATAGTAGCTACCCCAGTTATATCTGCAGCACAGGCTTAAGGTCTAATAGACTGTTATGACTCAAGATAATTAGGAAACTAGCCTGTTTCAGTTTTCCACATCACAAAGACAAGGATTATATTTCGACCAGGACACAAAGGGTGACAAGTTAAGACTGTATTTATGCCTGAATATAGAGTACAAAAATCACATCACGTGTTATATAACTCAAATTGATGGTATGTGCCTGGCCTAGATGAAGTGGTCTCTAGTACACATCCAGGTTAGCCTCCATTCAAAACTGCTTCAAGAAGGAGAAAAGTTGGATTTCTAGTAAAGATCCTGAGGTCCAGATAAGGGTTTTGTTGATTTCTCTGCTGAGGATCCTGCCCTAGTGACTTTCTTCTGTATCTTCTAGAAAAGGAGAGCCTGTCTGATTTACCTCCATTTTTGTGTCTATATTTTGGCTAATCCAAATGTCTATTACATTTGTCAATATAGTGGTCACAAATAACAGCCATCTATGTGCCTTCTCTTATATTCGGTGATTTGCAAGCATTATTATTCCATGAGGTATAATGACCTCCACTTTACAGGTGATGTTTCGCAAGAGTAAGCAACCTGCCAAAGGTCACACAGTACATGGTGCAGCAGTGACTCAACCCAAGAGCAGCTGGACTTTACAGCTCAAGTTGTTAGCTATATGACATATACTACATTTCCACAGTATTTCTCCTCTGATATTAACTTATAACTGAAAACTTGTAATAAGATTGAATTAAACAAAATCATTTAAGATGATACCTATACTAGTAAAAAGAAATCCCTGCTCTGTATAGAGAAGAATTTATGGTTGGCTAGAAAAAAAGAGGAGGAAAGAGGTGCCTTTGCTTAAAATCCAGAAACTCCAGCCAGAGACTGAGAAAACAGGTGGGCAGGAAGTAGGCCACTCACTCTATCCAGCAGTTCTGATAATTGCATATGCCCAATGGCAGGACTAAAGTCTTTCCAAGACTAACTAGGGAAGAAACAATCACCAACCAGGACAAGCTTTCTATCTTTGTAGAGATTTAAACTGTACAATAAGCTTTTGTGAATTTTTCACATCACTCACAAAACTGTTCACTTAATGCTTAATTTCATTACATGAAAGTAAATGGGTCTGAAGCAGCTTCCCCATGGAAAGAATTACCTGTAAAAACTGTTGAGGTGGCTGGGTCAGCTGAGCCTGAGATGGTTGCTGAACTGAAGTGAGCTGCTGCTCCTGGGAGCTCTGCTGCTGCTGCTGTGTTACTGACAATGTCTGTGACTGTTGCTGTTGTGTAGCAAAAGTAGGATATGCAGTCACCACCTGGCCCATGAGCATAGTACTAGGTACCATGACTGCCCCACAAGCTACAGGAGCAGTCACTAATTTGGTCACAAGTTGTTGACCTTGAGAAAATCTGTTAGAAGAAAGAAGGAAAAAAAAATGGAGTCTAAAGTACAAGGTATACATCATAAAAGACAGTGGAGTGAATACTTATCTAAGATAATACCAATTATAATGCCAATTTAGTTTTTCAAAGTCTGTATATTCCTATTTTGTTTCATTTTAAAAGATTCCCTTTGGTATAACAGTAAAACAAAAAAAATTCGTACAGCAAAATCAACGTATAACAAAAATACAAAATGTTTTTGGATATCCGCATTCAAAAGAATGAAGTTAGATCCTTACCTCACATCGTACACAAAAATTAACTTGAAAAGGACCAAAAACCAAAACATAAGAGCTAATGCTATGAAACTCTTAGAAGAAACACAGGGGAAAAGCTTCATGACTTTGGATTTAGCAATAGTTTCTTGGATATGATACCAAAAATACAGGCAACAAAAGAACAGATAAACTGGACTACATCAAATCAAAAATTTGTGAATCAAAGGGCACTATCAACAGAGTAAAAATATCTGCAGATGGAAGAAAATATCTGCAGATCATCTATCTGATGGGGGATTAATAACCAGAATATCTAAGAGCTCCTTCAGCTCACCAACAATCAACCCAATTAAAAAAATGGGCAAAGGTCAAACCTGAATAAACATTTTTCCAAAGAAGATACACAAACGGCTAACAAGCATATGAAAAGGTGCTCAACATCACTAATCATTAGAGAAATGAAAATCAAAATCACAAGACACTACTGTATACCCATCAGGATGGCAATTATAAAAAACAAACAACAGAAAATGACCAGTGTTGGCAAGCAAGTGGAGAAACCCTTGTGCAGTGCTGGTGGGAATGTAAAAATGGTGCAGCCACTACGAAAAACAGTATGCAATTCCTCAAAAAAGTTACTATAGAATTATTATATGAAAGAATTTCACTTCTGCTTATATACCCGCCCTGCCACCCCCCCCACAATGAAAGCAGGGACTCAAAAAGATATTTGTACACCCATAACCATAAGCAGTATTATTCACAAAAGCCAAAAAGTAGAAGTAACCCAAGACTCTACTGACAGAATGAATAAGCAACACAGTAGCGTGGAATATTACCTAGCCTTAAAAAGGAAAGAACGTCTGACAATTTGCTGTAACATGGATGAACCCTGAGAACATTATCCTAAGTGAAATAAGTCATTCACAAAAGGACAAATACTGTATGACTCCATTTATATGAGGGACTTGGACAGAAAATAGAATGGTGGCTGCCAAGCACTGGAGAGAGAAGAATGGGAAACTTGTATAATGGATATGGAGTTTCTGTTTAGGAAGACAAAAAAATTTCTGGAGATAGTTAGGGGAGTTTCTAGAGATAGTTAGGGGAGATGCTAACAATCATGAGAAGCTACTCAATGACAATGAACTGTATACTTTAAAATGGTTAACATGGTAACTTTTAGGTCATTTATATTTTTTCACAATAAAACATTTTAAAAATATATAAAAAACCTTTTTCTTTTTATAAAATTAGTAGGTACTTGGAATCAGATATATGTGACACGATTCATGTTCTACATTGGCACAGTTCATGAATAAACATAAAGCTATCATAATGTATTTTTTTTAAACTCTAGGATTATAGGAGAAATTTACACAAAATTGTATCTTAGGAATTTGACATTCTAAGTGAACAAAACTCCTCTTAATTTATGAATTTATCAATGCAGCAGTGTCCACTGGGCTAAAATTCATTATTTTTTCCCTCTTTCCCTGCTTCCTTTTGCTGTTTGAAGTGAAAGAACAATAACAAACAAACAAAAAAAATGATGCTTCTTTGTAAACAGTATTTCCATTTGCCTTTTCTGTGAGATGAAGTTAGTTTATAACATTGGCCATTTCAGTGAGATATGACCCTAATGTAGATGTGGCATGACATAACTGCACTTACAAACTGTTTAAAGTATATAACAATATTACACTTAGTACAGAGACATACTTTATTATTTATGTTCCACAAGACAAAATAATTTTATTTCAAATCCATGTCAGATCTTGAAAATAAAATACTGTATTTTATATACTATACAACCAAATAATTTAATGCAAAACAAAAAATTAAAATTATCCATATTAAACCCAAAGAAAAGTAATATTTATGAAGTACGCTTAGTCACAGAAGTGCCAAGTGCTGATTTCTCTGTAATCTTAAATGAAATTAATACTTGAATCAGCCCATGGTTCACTGGTAAATGTGATAAGAACATTTTCTTTAAGCTGCTTGCACGTAACTCACACTTACGCAGCTTTGTATACACAGCTCCCTGTCCAGAATGCCTCCCTAGATTCTGTGCCCACACCCACACCCAAAGCCAAGCTCTTGAAGAGTCAGGGCAAGTATCTCTGCCTGTGTGAAGCTTTCCTGACCATACCTTTATTCACCTGCTTGCCTCAACCCATGAAACTACTCACTTCCTCTTTTCTAAAGACCTCCAAAGTATTCATCACACCAAACAATACTGATTTGTTTCAGCTTTTACTAGTCTGGTTTTTCCTTTGGGGAAGGAATTATGCCATACTCATCTAGGTAATTCATCAAATATTTGCTAAGATATGGTTTCTGTCCCCACTCAAAAGACTGATGTTCAGGGAAATGCAACTTAAAACCACAATGAAATACCACCTTACTCCAGCCAGACTGGCCATTATTAAAAAATCAAAACAATGTATGCTGGCACAGATGTGTTGAAAAGTGAACATTTACACACTGCTGGTGGGAATGTGGGATTTCTCAAAGAACTAAAAATAGGTCTACCATTTGATCTAGCAATCCCATACTGGGTATCTACCCAAAGGAAAAGAAGTCATTGTATTAAAAAGATACCTGTGGCCGGGCGCGGTAGCTCAAGCCTGTAATCCCAGCACTTTGGGAGGCCGAGGCGGGTGGATCACGAGGTCAAGAGATCGAGACCATCCTACTCAATATGGTGAAACCCCGTCTCTACTAAAAATACAAAAAAATTAGCTGGGCATGGTGGCGCGTGCCTGTAATCCCAGCTACTCAGGAGGCTGAGGCAGGAGAATTGCCTGAACCCAGGAGGCGGAGGTTGCGGTGAGCCGAGATTGCGCCATTGCACTCCAGCCTGGGTAACAAGAGTGAAACTCTGTCTCAAAAAAAAAAAAAAAAAAAAAGATACCTGTGTACATATGTTTATCACAGTACAATTCATAATTCTAAAGATACGGAATCAACCTAAGTGTCCATCAACCAATCAGTGGAGAAGGAAAATGTGGTATGTATCTACCACGGACTACTACTCAGCCACAAAAGAAGAATAATGTATTTTGCAGCAACTTGGATGGAGCTAGAGACCTTTATTTTTTTTTTTTTTTGAGACGGAGTTTCGCTCTTGTTACCCAGGCTGGAGTGCAATGGCGCGATCTCGGCTCACCGCAACCTCCGCCTCCTGGGTTCAGGCAATTCTCCTGCCTCAGCCTCCTGAGTAGCTGGGATTACAGGCACGCGCCACCATGCCCAGTTAATGTTTTGTATCTTTAGTAGAGACGGGGTTTTACCATGTTGACCAGGATGGTCTCGATCTCTTGATCTCGTGATCCACCCGCCTCGGCCTCCCAAAGTGCTGGGATTACAGGCTTGAGCCACCGCGCCCGGCTTTTTTTTTCTTTTTTTTTTGAGACGGAGTTTGCTCTTGTTACCCAGGCTGGAGTGCAATGGCACGATCTCGGCTCACCGCAACCTCTGCCTCCTGGGTTCAGGCAATTCTCCTGCCTCAGTCTCCTGAGTAGCTGGGATTACAGGCATGTGCCAACCACGCCCAGCTAATTTTTTTTGTATTTTTAGTAGAGACGGGGTTTCACCATGTTGACCAGGATGGTCTCGATCTCTTGACCCCGTGATCCACCCGCCTCGGCCTCCCAAAGTGCTGGGATTACAGGCTTCAGCCACCGCGCCCGGCCTTAGAGGCCTTTATTCTAAGTGAAGTAACTCAAGAATGGAAAACCAAATCCCATATATTCTCACTTGCAAGTGGGAGCTAAACTATGGGTACAGCAAAGACATACAGAGTGATACAGTAATACACTTTGGACGAGGATGGTGGGGGTGAGGGATAAAAAACTACATATTGGATAGAATGTGTACTCCTCAGGTGATCAGTGCACTCAAATAAGTCACAGATGGTTGTTTTTCCAGAGCAGTCCACAAAACTTTCCTGTAATACATGTTTAAAGCACTTGAGCTTTGAAATCAAGACATCAAGGTCTGTATTCAGAACCCCCTCCCTCATCACCTTAACTAGCTATCGACCCCTTGGCTAATTACTAAAAACCCACTTTTTTCTTATCTGGGAAAATAAAAGAAGACTCTTATGTACATTTTCTTTTAATAAACGGAAATTTGAGATAATGTATTTTTTTGAGCATTTAACCGAAAAAAGGTAAGCGACCCTAACCATTGTTACTACATGGCATAACATCTATATTGAAAAGACAAAAGCTTCACAGTGATGCAGAACCTGTCACAAGCCCTTTGTGAGCGTGCGCTGTAGAATCTGTATTCTGTAATATTTTGTAGCATATTTTTGGACAAGAAACAAAATTTTTTGTTATCCTCTAATTATGAAGTCTTTAAACAATGAATACGTTGTTTTTATTTCAAATTTAAGAATACTGGCTGCAGTGTGCAACACATTAAAATCACATTAAAAATCAAATTATTGTTTTCTAATCAGTTTACAATTTTGAAAGTAACAAATGAAATATGACAACTACCTTATCTGCCGGTCCTGAGTGAACGTAGTTACAGCAGCACTCTGGGTGCTGTTCTGTGGCATACTAGATGGAATCTGGACCATGCTTCCAGCGGCAGGCTGAGAAATCACCATAGTGTTATACAGTGGGGCTGTAAGAGTGCTCTGTGTCTGACTGGGTAGAGATGTTTGCTGACTGTGCCCACTCAGGACATTTTGTTGACTCTGTTTAAAAAAGGGAGATTTTGTAGACAGATTAACTGAAAATAATTACTTGGGAATTATGCTAGAACTCCTCAATCTAACAATATGACAAATATGACAGAGAAAGAAGTGGCAGGATATATTACTCTGGGAGAAATATAACCACAAAGGAATGACTTGTGATAACTGAGAATTAATCAGTCTTAAATATCTGCTTGAAGGCAAACTTTGACTTTAGAAAGGAGTGTGATCATAATAGAGATGATATAAAATATACACAAAGAATTTCTGTTAAATGCCCAAAGTGAATGACTAATTAGTGGGCATTTTTATATTTTTCATTTAAATTCTTGGGATTTATACTCGCAGATGTACAGTAATTACCAACATTTTTGTGAATATTCAATAAGCCATTACTGACCCCGCCACACCCCCAACAAGTCTATTCTGCACATATGGGAACAGGCTTCCTGGTCAACCACTTTTGCAAGTCATACCTTTTTAACATACAGAAAAAGTCTAAGAACTTACAAGAACTTGGTATAACTATTAGACTACATCTTTCTTTCTTTCTTTTTTTTTTTTTAAATAAAAATGGGGTTTCACCATGTTGGTCAGGCTGGTCTTGAACTCCCGACCTCAGGTGATCCACCCACCTTGTCCTCCAAAGTGCTTGGATTACAGGCATGAGCCACCACACCCAGCCTAGACTATATCTTTAAACAGACTGTGAATACTTTAAAGCTCAGCTGGGTGTGATGGCTCACGCCCGTAATCTCAGCACTTTGGGAGGCCGAGGTGGACAGATGATCTGAGGTGAGGAGTTCGAGACCAGCCTAGCCAACATGGTGAAGCCCCATCTCTACTAAAAATACAAAAATTAGCTTGGCATGGTGGTAGGCACCTGTAATCCCAGCTACTTGGGAGGTTGAGGGAGGAGAATCACTTGAAGCCAGGAGGCGAAGGTGGCAGTGAAAAACAAAAGCTGATACTAACATAATTTGCACAAAATATTTAATGATCACTCTCAATACTATACTTTCAAAATACTATTTACAATTTTGAAATATGATATTTTATCATTAGAGTTTGATTTCTGTCACAGCAAGAGTGTACATTTCAACCACTGATCACTCAATAGCCCGCTGTGCTCAGTAACATTACCTGAGTTGATGTACTCTGCAAAGTCTGTTGTTGTATCATGTGCTGAGTTGTGCCAATATGTCCAGTATTCATTCCACTTTGAATCTGGTTAGAAGGAACAACCTGGCCTTGCATATTTATAGGTGCAAGTTGCTGGATGTTAGATGAATTTCCGGAAGAAAGTTGAACAGAACCAAAATTCAACCCAGGATTTGACTGTTGCAAAAACATCTTTAAAGATAAAGATTATGTTAACATGAGCTTTGTAGATTGCAAAGAAAGAATAATGAGAGCATTAAAAAGAAGGCAAAATAAAGCTACAAAGTTTAAAAAGCAAGTAACAAGATTAAATCACTTTGAAGAATTAGCAATAAATACTTAGCGAACAAAACGTGAAGCTTCATATTCAATCTTCAGTTATCTTAATTTTATTGTTTCCAATCGTTAGAAAAAGTATAACTCACTGCTACTCAGTCTGTGGACTGGCAGCTTTGTATCACTTATGATTTATAGTTTATAACCTTAGACAGAAGTAGTTTTCACTCTAAGTTTCCCTTTACCAAAGTAGTCATAGTCTCCTAGAGTAGTCCTGCTGGTTGGTCATATAGGACTAATTTGAATCATACCAACTGGTATCTTAATAAAAATATTACTGATGATTGATTTATAAATTCTGTACCCAAGATGTACCTAAACCTTTATTTAAAATATAATATTTATATTATGAATTCAAACTTAACTAAAATTCGTGGAGTGGTCATAAAAAAGTGACTGGAGAAATGCGGATGTTGGTAGAAATACCCTCAGGAATGAGTTATCTTTAGAGACTGTAAGCGTAACTGTCGGGGTCACCACTTGCAGGGGTCTGTCCTGCAGACCTTGACTCAATAATGGATGAATCTTCACTTAGACACAGATCTTCAGTCTAAGAGTGGCTGGGGTGTCTGTGGCCACTCACAGGCACTTGAGGAGAGTGCTATAAAGTGACAGCAGCTGCCAGTCCTGACAGGCTGGCCGGCGTTTATTGAGCACACATTAAATGACAAAGGCTTTGAGTCAACACCACTAGAGGGTAGAGGTTAAAGGCCAGGTTCTAAGGCTTAAAGCAAACACCATTAGAGGGGTAATATCTTTGGTTGACCTCCCCATCAAGAGAGCTATCTGGAATGATTAAAGGTTAATTTTAGGATCCCATGAGTAAACAAGTTAGGTAAACTCCTTATATTCCTTTGTTTCTACTCTAATTTATTTAACTAAGGGGACAAGGCTGCCTTCAGCCAAGTACTATAGTGAAAACTTTTAGGTCTTCCAAAAAGGTTTGTGTATATTCGCTATAACTAAAATTTCTCCCACCAGCCTTACTGAATCCTTACACATAATCATACTGAGTAGGTAACCAGTGAATATTTATTGAGCAGAATTGATAAAATGTATCTCTTGTATCTCACTTTTAATTAAGAAAAAGTTAATTTTCCTAAAAATCCAAAATATGAATGGGACGCTTGCTTTATATTCATATATAACAATTACCTGCAGCCCCTGACCGTGGACCATCTGAAGTTGCTCTTGAATTTTCCTTAGTTCTTCTTGTTGCCGATGAATATTTGCTTCTATCATGCGTGTCCGTTGTTCCAGTTGGTCTTTCAGGTGCTGCATGGCTCCTAATTGAGCTGAAAACTGAAACTAAAGTACCACATATAGAAAAAGCATAACATATTTTAGAATTACTTACTCCTTATAATTGTATAACGTGAAAAGTAAGCAGTATAACAGGAGTCAAGAATGTTATGCCAGTTAAGCCTCTTAGTTTCTAATCCACCCACCTTTGCTCGCTTTGTGATACTGGACCTGGACCTTAAAAATCTCTCCTTTGCTAGCAGGCACAAAGTTGTCCATGTCAGTAGATGGAGCTGGAGGGACACTGCAAAGAAAGGTGCTCAACTCCTGGTTCTGGTGCTTTTCCTTCTTGCTCTCATGTTGGGTACCAGTGGGAAGCTTCCCAATTAGGCTTGTTGGCTCCCTAGCCAGTGGCTTTCCAGCAAGTCTCAATGACATCCTAGTGGGCAGCTTCCCTGCAAGCTTTACCAGTGCCCCAGCTGATGGTTTCCAGCTCTCTAGCTCTAATCTGTGGCATGTCAGTGAACTTCTCTATTATCCACTTGTTATAGCCATATCTGCCCCAAGAAGATCTGCATCTCAGCTTGGCATGGGGGAAGAAGAGGTCAGGAGCTTATGGGGAGTTTTCTAAGAATGTTCCTTCCTTGGGTACTCTCCGTCTGCCTTAGTTAGTGGCTGCTCTCTGCATCTGATAATTCTATATTCTTTTTTTTGAGACAGCATCTTACTCTGTCACCCAGGCTGGAGAGCAGTGGTGTGATCATGGCTCACTGCAGCCTTGACCTTCTGGGTTCAAGAGATACTCCCATCTCAGCCTCCCCAGTGGCTGGGACTACAAGCATGCATCACCACATCTAGCAAACTTAAATATATATATTTTTGTAGAAATAGGATCTTGCTACGTTGTCCTTGCTGGTCTTGAACTCACTGGATCAAGCAGTCCTCCTACCTTGGCCTTTCAAAGTGCTGAGAATATAGGCATGAGCTACCACACCCAGCCTTATTCCTATATTCTTTAAGTTCTCTTTACTTCTTTTAGGAGTTAATCCCTGTTGCCAGTTAATACTTTTTTATATTACTCCTATTCAAATTTCTGGTATGCTTCTGGTTTCTCACTGGATATGGACTGATTACACACACACCCTAGATTTACAAGACCTGAGCTCATGTTGTGGTTACCAATTACTGGAAAAAATTATTTAGCTTTTTTTTTTTTTTTTTTTTTTTTTTTGAGACAGCGTCACCCAGGCTGGAATGCAGTGATATGATCATGGCTCACTGCAGCCTCAACCACCGAGGTTCAAGCATTCCTCCCACTTCCGCCTCCCAAGTGGCTGGGACTGCAGGCATGTCTCACCATGCCCAGCTAAATTTTTTTTTTTTTTTTTTTTTTTTTTAAGAGATGAGGTCTCATGATGTTGCCCGGTCTGGTGCTGAACTCCTGAGCTCAGACGTCCTCCCCCAAGTCACCATGCCCAGCCTTATTTAACTTCTTAGCTTCATTTTTACCCCTGAACAAAGGAAAAAGGAGTCTGCACCTGGAGTTAATTCTTACCAATTTCTGTCATCCCTACAATGTCTATGTGTACATAAGTAGAAGCACCCAACATTGTAAAAATCTGACAGATAACCAATAATAATATTTTCACTTCAATGGAAACTATCCTCAGACAAGTACAGAACATGAACTTTTTTTTTTTTTGGACAACCTGGCAACTTTCATTTAACAGAACATGAACTTTTAAAGACTACACAAGTACGAATGAGTAAATGCATACAGGAATGAGAACAAAATTATGTTTTCAATCTTATTTCTCTGTTTTACTTGAGTCATGAGCAGCTACTGTTTTCTTCTGCTTATAATTTAGCCACATTTGTGATTCATCTCTTAAGTCTATACAGGCTCTTTAATTATTCCCATGAATTTTCGGTGTATGATACAGTATAAGAGCATAGTCACTTTACTGGAAATCTGCCTTAAAGTAGCCTCTTACAGTGAACTGTATACAAGTGAGAAATGTCCTTCCCATCCAAAGCTTTTTAACTCTCTCTTCAATAGTTTGTATTTGGGATACTGCATTACATTTCAAAGCACACAACTGTGACCTCAGAAATTAACAATAACCAGACCATAACATATATTAAATTATACTAGGTTTGAGAAAATATCAAAAATTTAGTACCTCAACTCCCTCAAGCCTATATTTTTTTGGCCGGGCATGGCGGCTCACAGCTATAATCAGTTATATTTATGGCCGGGCATGGCGGCTCACAGCTATAATCCCAGGACTTTGGGAGGCTGAGGCGGGTAGAATGGTTGAGTCTAGGAGTTTGATACCAGCCTGATCAACACAGCAAAATGCTGTCTCCACTAAAAATATAAAAATTAGCCAGGTTTGGTGGTGTGCACCTGTAGTCCTAGCTACTTGGGAGGCTGAGGCAGGAGGATCACCTGAGCCCAGCAAGCAGAGGTTGCACTGAGCTGATATTGTGCCCCTGCACTCCAGCCTGGGTGACAGGGTGAGACCCTGTCTCAAAAAATAAAAATAAAAGTTACATTTATGTCATACAAATGTATTTTATTATAACTAAAGTTATTTGTTCCTTTGGGTAAGCATTATATTGCTATCACTTAAAGGATTTCTATCAAATACAAAAAGAAAATAGTAAACACAGAAGGCAGGATAACAGGAAGTAAAAATCACAGAACTAAGAGGCAAAACATTTGGCTTTATTAGTGAATAAAATGTGAGATATGAATACTTGCTAACATTTTTGACAGTATATATCCTTTATTTCATAAAAATATCCCTATAAAATGTTAGGAAATGCTTTAGATTCTTGAGATTAAAGAACTAGTAACATAGAAAGTATGTATCTCTTATCATAGTTATATATGTATGACTTAACCATATAAGATAGAGCTGTTTTTAAAAAATACTGTTTTTACCTATTATTGATGATCATTCCTTAAAATCAAGATACTGCTAAGTTAAGGTATATTTAATGCCAAACAAGGCAAAAAAGTTGAAGAAAAATACTACTTCTCTGTGGTATTTTTAATGTGTTTGAGGCACTGAATGAGTACAGAGTCATATATTACAAGTTGGGAAGTTAGGTTACAAAGTAAGAGTGTCACTTTTGGAATTACTTCCCCCCCTTTTTTGGCTACTTTCCACATTTAGGCCTCCTTCTGGACTTAGGACAGGAAACAATTCTACAAGTCTTCCTTCACTTCCTCAGGTTGCATTAAGGATTCATGCAACGTGCTTACGTATCAGCTTATATACCTTCAGCACAGGCAATATAACGTGGTATTGTAGGTATGGTAGGTATCTGTCATTCCCTCTAGATGTGATGGTTTTTTAGTACAGATATTTGTATTTGTACTATCAGCATCTACAGTGCCTGTTATACACAAGAAACTCAATAAATATTGAATGAATGAATGGATGAATGAATGAATATACAAATAAAATTACTTAATTCTTCCAATATTCATAGGAAGGACAAAATGAATGGTTACATTTCATCTTTAATATCTTTATGTCTACAGTGTTTCTCAATGAGGGAATGTTACAGCATATTAAGCGGACAATTCTTTGTGGTTTAAGACTGTCACGCATCCTGAAGGACATTTAGCATACCTAGACCATGCTCACTAAGGGCCAGCGATACCCCACAATCATTATGAAAATAAAAAATGTCCCCAGATATCCTAAATAGCCCCAATTAAGATTCACTGCATCTGTAACTATAATTATATATGTGAGTGTGTGTATTTTATTTTTTTAAGAGACACTATCTTGCTATACTGCCCAGGCTGGTGTTGAATTCCTGAGCTCAAGCAATCCTCCTACCTCGCTTGGCCTCCCAAGCAGCTGCAGCTACAGGTGCTTGCAAACAACCTGGATTTTTAAAAATTACATCAGCTTAAAAGCAATTTATCATTTTTACATATGCAACTGAAACAACAAACAAAATATACCTGGGACATGCCTTGTGGAATTGGTAAATTTGTAGCTTGAGACATCACTGGCTGTGTTAATGATGAACCAACAGACTGGGAATTTATGGACTAGAGCAAAATAAAAATAACACTGAAGTGATTCTCATTCCCATACATGAGTACTTCTAGCAGAAATATCAATATGATATTCATATTAATGAATTTACCATTTGGCTTATACTTTTGTTAGTTGAATACAGCTATGTCTTCCCTTCTATACTGGAAAGGCCTGTTCCCTATTTATCTTTTATTTTCCAAGGAACTTCCTACAGTACCTTGCACAAACTCTCAATAAAAGTTGGCCAGACTTGGGACAATTGGTATTTGAACTTAGACATAACACAGCTATCAATTATGAGCTTTTCACAATTAAAAAAAAAAACTAACATTTTACTTGAAAAATAATTAAAAGGACTGATACATATGACAACCACTTCATACAAAAAAAGGAAGTCTTGAGTGTCATGTATCAGTACTATTTTGATCTTCATAAAGAGGGGTAACAAATCAATGAATTTCTGAAGATTTAGATCATTTCTCCCCTCTTAATAAATCTTTATTCAGAAGAATATCTACTGAAGAACTTACCTGACTACTAAATGATGACCTTCTTTGCACCATCTTCTCATGAGTTGGTAAATGCTGCCTGGGTGGAGTGCTCGTATCTGTTGGGATCTTGGTTGGTGTTGCTGAAATCAGTCAACAAAATCAAAAGAGCATTTGTACTTTATAAAATATGGTTTTTATAGATTTATCTCAAAATGTATTTGTTTATAAAAATGGCTTTTGCATTATCTTTCCAAATCATTCAATGAAAATGAAGTCCATGTCAGATGAGTCAATGTAGTTACTTATTTTTATGAGCACAAAAAGTATTTCAAATAGGAAAACTTTAAAAACGTACTGATTTAATGACAATTATACAAGTCATCATAAAGACAAGACACTAAAAAAACTTTCAAAAAGCAAACCTAAGAACACTTAACTGGCCCTACAGTAGAAGACACAATAAATAGTTGCCTTTCTTCTTGAGGGATGATTAAAACACCACCACTTACCATTACCACCTACACATGTTAATAGGCTACTTGAAGAACCTAATTCTTTGCTACAAGTCAGCAATGTGCCTGTAAGTCACTGGAAAGGTTACTACATTTCAGGAATGTAAAAAGGTATAATTTTAAAGAAGCATTAGATGAAAAATGCTGATGTAAGTAACTAATAGTTACTTTAAAGTCTACTTTCAAGCAAGAATACTCACAGGAAGGGTCGGAGACTGCTGTGTGAGATGATTTTCTTGAACTCCGAGAAGAAGCAGAAGGGGTTGGGCTGTGATCAAACCTTTCCAACGCTTCCTTCAGACTGACTGTGTTTATACGATTATCTGACCCAGAATCTTGGCTCTAAGGAGACAGAGTAAAATAAATGTTTTCTTGTGGTTCAGTTCAGAGATCTCAGATTCGCAATACTGTTAATAACAACAACAAAAAATCAGTTTTTATCTGTAACAAGGCAAAAGTATCTTGTGTGTACACACACATGTAAAGATGAAAATTTATGTGTTACAGCCAGAAAGTTTTGGCTTCATTTTCTATTTAAAGAAACAGAAAATGAATGAAGTTGGAATCTCTTACACCATATACAAAAATTAACTCAAGGCCAGGCATGGTGGCTCATGCCTATAATCCCAGCACTTTGGGAGGCTGAGGTGGGCAGATCACCTGAGGTCAGGAGTTCGAGACCAGCGTGACCAACATGGTGAAACCTTCTCTCTACTAAAAATACAAAAATTAGTCAGGCATAGTGGCAGGCGCCTGTGATCCCAGCAATTCAGGCAGCTGAGGGAGGAGAATCCTCTGAATCTAGGAGGCAGAGGTTGCAGTGAGTCAAGATCCCACCACTGCACTACAGCCTGGGCAAAAGAGCAAGACTCCATCTCAATTAAAGGAACAAAAAAATTAACTCAAAAATGAATCACAGACCTAAATGTTAAGAGTTAAAACTACAAACGGGCCGGGCGAGGTGGCTCAAGCCTATAATCCCAGCACTTTGGGAGGCCGAGGTGGGTGGATCACGAGGTCAAGAGATCGAGACCCTCCTGGTCAACATGGTGAAACCCTGTCTCTACTAAAAATACAAAAAAATTAGCTGGGCATGGTGGGGCGTGCCTGTAATCCCAGCTACTCAGGAGGCTGAGGCAGGAGAATTGCCTGAACCCAGGAGGCGGAGGTTGCAGTGAGCCGAGATCGCACCATTGCACTCCAGCCTGGGTAACAAGAGCAAAACTCCGTCTCAAAAATAAATAAATAAATAAATGTTTTCTATATTTAAAATTTTAAAAAAATTTAAAAAGTAAGAGTTAAAACTACATTAACTCTTAGAAGAATACATCGAGGAGAAAGCCAGGTGAATGCCTGCAGTGCCAGCTACCTAGGAGGCTGAGGTAAGAGAATGGCTAGAGTCTGGTTCCATATAGCGACACTAATCTTTCCCATCACCAATGTTTCTCCATCAGCTCATTGTCATCAGTACACAAACATGCTGTTATTTCTCTCAAAAAAAAAAAAAGGGCAAAAACTTCCTTTAAGCCCACTTTCCCCTCCTACTACTGCCCCATTTCTCTTCTCTTTATAGCAAAACTCCTCCCTACTTACTGTACCTAATTCCCCCATCCTGGAAAACTCTTTTAAACCCACTTTAATCATGCTTTCACCCACACTACTACTCCACAAAATCTGTTCTTATTGATCACCAGTGAATTAAATGTTAAAGTCAACGCTCAGTTCTCAGCACTCATCTAAAATTTAACTTATTTCAGCTGAATCTGACAAAGCTGATCATTCACTCGTGATACTCTTGTCTAAGTAACTTCCTGGTTTTATTCCTTACTATTACCTTCCCTGTGGTTGATTCTTCCTTGTCTCCCTCACCTCTTAATATTGGAGTCCTCCAAGACACACCCATCCTCTTGATGATCCCATCAAGATTCATGATTTTAAAACCACCCACATATTGAAGTTTCTCAAACATATCTCAGGAGGACCTTGTCCCTAAACCCCAGGTGGATCATGATGCTGGCAGTAAATACAGTGGGAAATTAGACATAGCTAGAGTGTGTTTTGGAAATAGGGCTAATTTAGGATTTACTAGGATTGAATTTTTGCATGAGGGAAAAAGAAGGATAATTAATGTCTGTACTACTTCAGTTTTCATAATGGCCCCCCTAATCAAAGAACCCTAGATTTTAAGAACTTTTCTCAGAAAATAATATCTTTTACCAAAACCTACTATGTCCTGTTTTAAACACATAAACCTCTTTGGAAAAGTTCTTTCACGTGGGATCCACCAAAGTAAGGAAGTTGTTTGCATTATTCAATGCTGTATTCTCAGCCTCTAGGGCCATGCCTGGCCTACAGAAGGTACTTCAGAACATTTGTTGGGACTGAATAACATCCACCCTACTGTCCCCTGGACTGTTGCCTATTTAAACTCAATTTTTATATCGATTATTGACTTTTTTTCATTCCACTTATTTTCTGTAGGTCCAAGAATACTTGTGATGGGCAATTTCTGACATGGCTCACAATTCCTGCCTCTGGTTATTCCTGCCCTTGTATAATCCTCCCACCTTGAATGTAGGCTAGACCTAGTGATTTCCTTCTATAATGCACAAAATAGACAAAGCAATGAGATATCAATTCTGTGATTAGGTTACAAAAGACTGTGACTTCATCTTGCAGGCAGTGTCTCTCCCTGGCTCATCTTGCATGCTTGCTCTGATGGAAAAGGTCACCTGGAAAGGAACTGAGGATAGTCTTCAGCCAGCAAGAAACCAAGGCCCTCAGTCCAACTCCCCATGAAGAACTGAAGTGTACCAGCAACCATTAAGTGTGGTGGAAACAGATTCCACCTCAGATGAACTGTGAGATGACTGTGTCTCCCACCAACACCTTGATTATAGCCTCATGATAGAACCTGAGGCAGAGGGTCCAGCTAAACTGTGCCTAGATTCCTGACTCACCAAACTAGGAGATAGTAAATGTGCTGTTTATATCACTAAGTTTTGAAGTAAGTTGTTACACGCTACAGATAACTAATACACTATACTTCTGACCTGATACAACAAAAAAGAAACCAGAGTTCAAATTCTGACTACAGTTTCCCAGCCAGTGTCTTTAGGGGAGATTTTTTTCCCCCCTCTTGAAACCTCAATTTCAGTATTTTCACAGTGGGGATATTACCTACCAGACAAAAACATCTGAAGTGTAAATTACATTTCATAATTCATATAAACCCAGCCAGAGCCTAGTACATCATTGGTAATTAATAAACGGTAGTTTTAATCTGAGATCAGATATGTCTCTCATCCAATTTTCTTTTTAGAGGCAGGTGAGATTTTAAAACATTAAATTAAAAATAAGCAGTAAAGTACAATCACATCCCTCTTATAAATAAGGAAATAAAGTATCTGAAAAATAATTTTACTATTAATTACTGAGTTTTATTTTTCATTTGGGAGAAATTAAAAATAATTTTTATTTTATTTCATTTATTTTTTTGAGATGGAGTTTCGCTCTTGTTACCCAGGCTGGAGTGCAATGGCGCAATCTCGGCTCACCGCAACCTCCGCCTCCTGGGTTCAGGCAATTCTCCTGCCTCAGCCTCCTGAGTAGCTGGGATTACAGGCACGGGCCTGAGTAGCTGGGATTACAGGCACGCGCCACCATGCCCAGCTAATTTTTTGTATTTTTAGTAGAGACGGGGTTTCACTATGTTGACCAGGATGGTCTCGATATCTTGACCCCGTGATCCACCCGTCTCGGCCTCCCAAAGTGCTGGGATTACAGGCTTGAGCCACCGCGCCCGGCCTTATTAAAAATAATTTTTAAAAAATTATAAGAAACATACTTTGTCAGCAGCTGCCTCAGGAAGAGACTCTTCAATGCCAAGTTCTCGTCGTCTTTCAGCCCTAACTTCTGCATAACTATAAACAGAAAAAAAAATGTTTGGTCATTCATTTAAAATACTGCACAATTGTAACTATTCATCTGTTCATCTAGACTATTTGCTATATGCTAACCAAACCTAAATATACCTGTAATGTCTTAATTTGTATTTTTCTAGGTATCTTACAGTTTCATGCACTGCTGTAAATGATCCATAACCACACAATACTTAAGAGAAACTAAATAAAGGAAGTACATGCTTATCTACTGACAGTTTTCTTTTTACATGGCTGACACTGCTACATAAATGACAGCAACGACTTCTGCTGTAAGGCACAAAATTTATATCAAGCCTTATAGATCTGTATCATTCCTATATTATATTTATATATAATGCTTATAAGTAAATGTAATAATATATTGAAAGGATGTATTAGAAATTGAGAAAAGAGCACTTTGTAGTTCCTTAACAAGTTACACATAAAACTTAAATTGCCAAAACTGTCATAGGATGCTACAATACAGAAACTGTTTAAAAGAATTATTACCTTACTACAGTGTGAGTACAAACAATAAACTCTGGCCTTGAATTCCACTGATGATAAGTGATATAATAATGAGTTTGAAGCCAAATCCACTGTTGCCCTTTAGTCAGGAATCTATAATAACATGATTTGCCTTTTCCATATTGCATTACTAAAAAGAAAAGAGAAAAATATTCTTTCTTTAATTCATATTAAAGAAATCTGTTTTTTAACCAAAAGCTATCATTTGCATTTAAGTCTACATACACTATTCTTTTTCTGGCTTTTTGATAACATATATGTCAATATGAAAATGTTAATTCTTTAGATCCAGTTTCAGGTCCCAAGCAACGATCAGATCTTCCACAGTGCCCAACTTAGAGCCAGCCACTTCTGATTTTACAATCTTTCCATACACAATTAACTTCCAAACACTTAAAAATTCATATTGCTGACTTCTTCCCAATAGATATACAGAGGGTAATAACAATAAGTAATCACACCTGAGTTTTTTCTCCTAGCTACTCTGGCAGGCACAGAATCTTTGAAGCATTTACTTTCAAACCTTAACTAACCCAAATCAAAATAACTTCATTGTTTGAAGTAACTTAGGGCAGTAACTGCCAACACATGTGCTGCAGATTTTAAGTTCTAAAGCCTTTTAACAGATATTAAGCCAAAAAAATGGGTTTTGGGCCAGGTATGGTGGCTCACCCCTGTAATCTCAGTACTTTGGGAAGTTGAGGTGGGTTAGATCAGTTGAGGTCAAGAGTTTGAGACCACCCTGGCTGACATAGTGAAACCCTATCTCTACTAAAAATACAAAAATTAGCCAGGTGTGGTGGCACACACCTGTAATCCCAGCTACTAAGGAAGCTGAGGCAAGAGAACTGCTTGAACTTGGGAGGCGGAGGTTGTAGTGAGCAGAGATCACGCCACTCACTGCACACCAGCCTCGGTGACAAAGGGAAACTCCATCTCAAAAAAACAAAATGGTTTGTGGTTAAATTAACTTAGAAAACTTTTTGTTAAATTGGTGTCTTCAGTTTTCTCAAAACCCAGAGTACGCTAATGTATGTGCAGATTCTCTAAAGCAGGCGTCCCCAAACTACGGGCCATGGGCCGCATGCGGCCCCCTGAGGCCATTTATCCGGCCCCCTGCCGCACTTCAGGAAGGGGCACCTCTTCCGTTGGTGGTCAGTGAGAGGAGCACAGTACGTGGTGGCCCTCCAACGGTTTGAGGGACAGTGAACTGGCCCCCTGTGTAAAAAGTTGGGGATGCCTGCTCTAAGGCATTATGAAGTGTTTCCCTGTCTTCCTTGACTATAAAGCGTTTTTCTAAAGACCAACGTTAGTTGGAACAAACCTTAGGAAATGCCCGTCAGGAATCTCTCAATCAATCAAATCTCTCCCTCTCCTCTCTCTTTCTCGTCTGTCTCTCTCTGTCTCTCTCTGTCTCGTGTCTTACTCTCTAAGGAGGAAATCAAGGTCTACAAACAAACTTGCTATCCAAAGTTACCCAGCTAGTTAACAGAAGTATCAAGTCTTTACACAACATCATGGTGCTTAATGCCCACATCTTTTGCGCTGAAATGACTTTACTCTGAACATTTTCCATAGAGTTAATGCTATTGTAAAACAGGCTTCATTTTCATACAGAGGGGTTTATGAAAGCAGCATAAAACGTCATCAAAGTGTCTAAAATATCTAGTTAAGCCTTAGTGTACATTCAAGAGTGTAAGCATCTGGGAGGAGGATCAGAGAAGCAAATAAAACCTATCATTAAAACAAACCTCATGATTAGAACAAACTTCCAAAATAAAGAATAAATACATGTGATAAAAGAGTAGGCCTAGACTCCAATGCTTCTCTGCCACCAATGAGCTATGAAATTATGGCTGAATTTCTTAGCTTTACTGTGTTCTCAGCTTACTCATGAAGATTAGATTTAAAGTGTTTAGAACTGTGCCTGACACAAAGGATGACAATGCTCCTGCTCTAACAATAATAAGCAGATAACACTAAGCATTTACGATGAGCTTTCTAAGACAGATTTTCCAAAGACGTAGCTAGCTCCTGAAAAGATTCACATGCTTGGAAATCAAAATTGATGACACAATATTCCCAAAATTTGATGTATTACAATTTTCAAAGGAATATACTTCTCTTACTCCAGATATAGAGCTTACATGCTTCAGAACAAGGTGTATTAGATGCCATATTATGAAATTCTACTTATTAAAAACTAAAATAGGAACAAGTTTAATTTAAATATGAGGTATGATTCCTACTAGATTGGTTATACATATAAAGCCAAATCTTATAGCACATTTAAAAAATATGAAAATTATTATAAATCTGTGTCTTACCACTTATCATTTCAGGACAGGACTTCTGTTTACATTATTTAAAAACAGTTATTATCACCAAAAATATTAAAATCTACTTACAGTGCTCATGACATTTTGCCAAATTTTCTAGGTCATCCACATGATAGTAATCATAGCCTGATGTTCCTAGAACTTCAAATGGCAAATATCCTATTATGGGTGGTGCCCTAAATTACACAGAAAACAATCATTATTGTAAGTTTTTCCATAATAAGAAATATTCCAACTAGAATCATATTTGGGGGGGGGGCTTTGTTTTTCCAAAAATGGGAAAAGATTTCAAAGTCCTAATTTAAAAAAAAGTTTGCCCTTGAAATCCATTAATTTCTAGAATTATATGAAGTGACTATTACCTTTCCATGGAATTTAAAAATGAAATTACCTGTGATCTAGAAACAGAAACTTCCATTCTAAACTATGTCTAGATGTAAACTCTTCATTGGGTTCTTCAACAGTGCACATTTCCTACAAATAAATTAATAATTAAAATTTATAAATACTTTCTTGTATCCTTAAGAATATTAAATATTGCTACATATAAAAACAAAAGTCATGGCCAGGTGTGGTGGCTCACACCTGTAATCCTAGCACTTTGGGAGGCCAAGGTGAGGGAATCACCTGAGGTCAGGAGTTTGAGACCAGCATGGCTGGCCAACATGGTGAAATCCCATCTCTACTAAAAATACAGAAAATAGCCAGGCATGGTGGCAGGCCTCTTTAATCCCAGCTACTCGGGAGGCTGAGGCAGGAGAATCACTTGAACCTGGAAGGTGGAGGTTGAATGAATGAATGAATAAATGTCAATACTAGATTAACTTTCCCCTAAGCAAGTTAGTTAGTTGTTTCTATGTATGTATGTATGTATGTATGTATGTATATACTTACTTATTTGTTTGAGACAGGGTCTTACTCTGTCACCCAGGCTGGAGTACAGTGGTATGATCTCAGCTCACTGCAGCATCAACATCCTGGGCTAAATAATTTTCCTCCCTCAGCTTCCCAAGTAGCTGGGACTACAGGTACGCGCCACCATGCCTGGCTAATTTTTGTATTTTTATTTGTAGAGATGGGAGACTCACTATGTTCCAGGATGGTCTTGAACTCCTGGGTTCAAGCAACCTGCCCACTATAGCCTCCCAAAGTGCTGGGATTCTAGGCGTAAGCTAAAATGCAGGCCCCTAAACACGTTAACACATTTTAATTTTCTAGTACTAAAGAATGGGGTAATAACCCTTAGATGCAAGCTTTTGGGTCAGTACTTCTTACTACACATTTTCCATTCACATACGCCTATAAACCCTTATTCAAAATCCAGACCTCTCTCCAGAATTACAGTTCCGTATTTCCAACTATCTGAATGTCTTCACACATCTCAAACTCAGTATGTCTTAAAGAAACTGATTGCTTTACTCCTCACACCCAGTTACACAATTTTCCGTATTATTCCGTACATGTGTAGTGGCCAGGGTCTAGAAAGTTGATAGTTAAAACATACTTTTTCATTTTTTACCTTTTATCATCCAAGGGGCCACTACCAAATCCTTCCATTTCATCCAAGTATTTGAAAAATCAATTCCATCTCATCTGTCTTGAGTGTATTGGTTTAGACCCCTGCCATCACTGATTTGCTACAGTGTTCACCAGACTCCCTGTCCTTCAACTTATCTTCTCTTCTAGGACCACAATTACCTTCCCAATACTCATATTATACGGCTTCCCTGGTTAAAAAAAAAACTTCCAATGGTTCCTTGTGCTAAAATCTCTTCAGCATGGAGAAATAAACACTAAATAAAGAAACAAATTTCATTTCTGATTTCGGATTACTTTTCTAGCCTTACCTCTCACTAACTCTTCCCCTTCTGCACATTAATCCTACACTCTAGTCAAACTAAACAATGTATTACATCCTGCCTCTGTGTCCCTGCAGCACACTGTAATAGTGGAGACCTTGAGCTTTGAGAAAAAAAATAATTATTAATAGAATCAAGTCCCAGTTTAATCACTAATAGCTGAGACTTTGGGCAAGTAACTTAACTTCCCTAAGCCTCCGTTTCCTCATAATGTAAAATTAGGAATCATTAATAGCATCTAACTTACAGAGTTGTCATAAGAATTAAATAAGATAATGAATATAAAATACACAGCATGTTTAGCACTCAAATGTTAACAACTATTATTTAATACGACCAAAACAAACAGAGCAAGACTGGTTTAAGATCGTCTATTAATTCAGTATTTTGTCCTATACTATCATGTCCCAAAATTTTATTTATTTTGAGACAGAGTCTCACTCTGTCACCTAGGCAGATACAAACTAGTACAGTGACGCAGACACAATTCACTTCAGCCTCAACCTCCTGGGCTCAAGTGGTCCTCCCACCTCAGCCTCCTGAGTGACTGAGACCACAGGTGTGTAACCTGGCTAATTTTTTGTATTTTTTTGTAAAGATGACATCTTGCCATATTGCCCAGGCTGGTCTCAAACTCCTGGGCTCAGGCAATTCTCTTGCCTCGCCCTCCCAAAGTGCTGGGATTATAAGCATGAGTCACTGCGCCTGGCCCCACCTAAATTTTAAATCTTAGCCTGGCTGCTTCTTTCCAGTCACTTTCTAGTGGTTGAACCATTTCACTTTCCTACTTCCCTACTTACCATCTGTTTGTTGGACCCAGGAAATAAAAATAAAATACTTAATTTTACATTTGAAAAGACAAGTTACATGCAATAAAGAGCCACTTGGATATTTCAAATACAATTTTAAAAATGACCTAAAAATAAAGATTCCAAAAACCTACATTTTTGGACTTTCCCTTTTAATAGAGATAATGAACGATACACAAAGGCATCCTAAAATCTGCCACAAAAGTAGGGCAATACTGATATATAATAATCACCAGTTAACTGCAAAGGCTATATACTAAAAAATTGGTTTTACAATTTAGTGAGTGTCTTGATAACATGTTTCAAAAATACTACTATCATGCATATTTAATGACTCATAGCCATTCCACCTCAATGTTTGCAGAAAGTTTCAGGCAGTTCTCAGCATATGAACTTAAATCTCCTTTGGGGAACAAAGTTAGAAACATACCTTAATGAACTGCGGTGTAGCTAACCTGACAGTAGCTACAAAACAAACTCTATCTTCGTAAGATGGCCTATGTGTGCGTTGTATAGTTCCTTCAAAACCATTGTGTGCTGAAGAGGATACTAAAATAATAGGGAAATATATATTATCAGTTATGCCAGTAAAACCTAGTTGTTACTGATATTCAAACATCTATGTCTTTAAGAGCACAGAAAAATAACAAGTTAAAACACACTGTAAGAGAAGCATTTTAACTTACCACTGTTTAAAGATTTGAAATTTCCTATAAATTTTACATATTCATAGGTAGATGGCTCCTTTGGGTCTATTGTTCCTCGGAGCATATGACAACAGAACTCTAATTGATTTTTTGCTGAAATAAAGAAATTTTAAAAATCACATATTTGTTATCTAGGACAACAACTGATATATCACATAAAATAAGATCACAAAAGTTCTGTAAGTTTACAACCATTATTTTCCCCAAGAGAAATCATCGATGACATTTAGTTCATAAATGCAAAGTATGTTCAGGGGATGACCTCACTTTGTCTTTAACAAAGAAAATAGATTTTCTGGTGCAAACAACTTAATGTTTCCCTATTTTTATCTATCCTTCCTTTTCATTCTTCACTCACTTTCAAAGACAAGTTTTGCTTCCCATTCTAAAGCTAATGCTTCTGTCTCTACCTTGAATAGTCTTTCCTGTTTCTTCTAGGACCAGGGTCACACCACTGTTCCTTATTCCTTTACCATCTACACCTTTGGGTCCTTACTTTTTTTTTTTTTGAGACAGGGTTTTGCTTTGTCACCCAGGCTGCAGTACAGTGGCATGATCACAATTCACTGCAGCACTGAATTTCTGGGCTCAAGTGAGCCCCCTGCCTCAGCCTTCCCAGTAGCCAAGGCTACAGGTGTGAGCCATCATGCCTGGCTAATTTTTCATTTTTTGTAGAAATGGGGTCTCACTATGTTGCCCAGGCTGGGCACAAGCTCCTGAGCTCAAGTGATCCTCCTGCCTCAACTTCCCAAGTGGTGGGATTACAGGCAACAGAGCCACTGCACCTGGTCAAGGGTCTTTATCATCTACTTTTAAATTTGTTCAGGTCTTTCATCTCCAACAAAGGAGTTTTGCTAAGTACTTTGGTATTACAGATCTCCTTCCTTTTCATTATGGGCTCCATCTTCCCTATATTCGTTTCCCTTAACGTCAGGCACCGTAGCTTTCATTCTTACACCTCTACAGCAATTATTCTTCTCAAGATTACTAACATTTGTATTGTTAACTTCAATGGTTTTTCATTTCCTCCTCTTCTTAAAAGTCATGCTTTGTCATTGCCATAGCATAAACTTACCTTCCTACCTTATTGGCTATTCCTATCTCTTCTGCTAATACAGTTCCATACTAGGGATTTTCACAAAGGTTCTTCTGATCCTGTATCTCTCTCTCCATTTTATGTAAGCAATCTTTCCTATCATTTGCTTTCAGGATATTTGTACTTGAGTGTACTATCAGTAACTTAAAATTCAAAATATTTAAAAGTGAATTTCTTTCAATTCCCCTTTGTCTATGTATGCTTATTTCCCAAGTCAGAAACCGTATCAATTTGGCCTCTTCTCTTCCTACCACGAGTCTGTCACCAAGACCTGCTACTTATTTCACCAAGGAAGCCCGCCAATTTAGTGTAGTTGCACATTACCGTACATTTAGGTAAACTGAAACATGTATTCATTCTGCCTCCACATTCTGCCACTCTGATTCATTCTGCCTATTACTCTTAGACTTATAACTACTTTCATACTATTTCAGCACTCAAGGATAAGTAACACCTCTCTTTGTTCACTACTTCAGGCTTATATTCTTCAGTCATTATCAACATAAATGGCTTTATCATCTAACCGAATAGGTTTAAAATCTATCTTCTTCAAACAGCCCTTCCCCACCGATGATTCTTAGCCTGCTTCGTCACCTGGGCCTAACACATCAAGTCCTATTGAGTTTACACACTTAACAGTCATATACTTTCCTCTCCATCCTTTCCTTTTTTCTTTTTTTTTGAGCTGGAGTTTCACTCTTGTTGCCCAGGCTGGAGGGCAATGGCGTGATCTTGGCTCACCACAACCTCTGCCTCCTGGGTTCAAGCATTCTCCTGCCTCCTGAGTAGCTGGCATTACAGGAATGTGTCACCACATCCAGATGATTTTGTATTTTCAGTAGAGACAGGGTTTCTCCATGTTGGTCAGGCTGGTCTTGAACTCCCGACCTCAGGTGATCTGCCTGCCTTGGCCTCCTAAAGTGCTGGGATTACAGGCGTGAGCTGCCACACCTGGGCTTCTTTTTTTTTTTTTTTTTTTTTGAGACAAAAGTCTCACCCTGTCACCCAGGCTAGAGTGCAGTGGCATGATCTTGACTCACTGCAACCTCTACCTCCTGGGCGAAAGTGATCCTCCAGTTCAGCTCCCAAAATAGTGGGGACTACAGGCATGTGCCACCACACTCAGCTAATTTTTGTATTTCTTTTTATTGTGGAGATGGTGTTTTACCACATTGCCCATGCTAGTCTTGAACTCCTGGGCTCAAGTGATACACCCACCTTGGCCTCCCAAAGCGCTGGGATTACAGGAGTGAGCCACTGTGCCCAGCCCATCCTTAATTTTATTGCTAGGATTATATGGTTTTTCTTTTTGTCTCCAGTCTGGTCCTTTCCAAAATTTTCTATCTGAGTGATTTTTTAAAAATCTCCCAAACCAGAGATGCTGATGAAAGATGCTTCCACTGCAATGAAGACCTGGACCTCAATGAGGCAGAACAGCTGTCACAGAAAAAGTAATCATAGTTACTGTACCAGGGAGCAGGGCCAGCTTGGTCATCAGAATGGTCTGATCCGTAAGATCTGTGGTTATGCTTAACTGAACCCTAGGAATGAAACTGAGGAGTAACTCCACAAAGCTACTACTTGATTTGTATAGTAGGAAGCCTGCAGGTCAGGTGAGCACAGCCTGAGTTGAGCCACTATGACACAGAAATCCAGGGCTCTTTCAACTCTCAGACTGAGGGCCTCTTTATGAAGCAGAAGCTAGGTAAGCCGGGGCAGGTAGCCCACGGCTGTAAGTCTTCTTCCTAGCCTTTTTCAAAGGGTCTTTCCACTATTTACTTGATTTTATTTTTTTTTTACAAGTCTTCTTCCTAGCCTTCTCCAAAAAGACTTTCCATTATTTACCTGATTTTTTTTTTTTCTTTTTTTACCCAAATCTCCTTCACTGGCTCTCTACTCTGTAAAAAATAAAAATCAAATTCCTTAGGATGAACTATTAGGTCTTTTAGAATTCTGTCCTTATTCCTTGTCTAGACACAAATTATACTACTTGTAAAACCTCACCTTCATTATGGCCAAAAGGACCTACCGAATTTTCTAAGTAATTTTTCCTATGTTTTAACTTGTGTTTATTCTTTTTTTTTTTTTTTTTTTTTTGAGACGGAGTTTTCGCTCTCGTTACCCAGGCTGGAGTGCAATGGCGCAATCTTGGCTCACCGCAACCTCTGCCTCCTGGGTTCAGGCAATTCTCCTGCCTCAGCCTCCTGAGTAGCTGGGATTACAGGCACGCACCACCATGCCCAGCTAATTTTTGTATTTTTAGTAGAGACGGGGTTTCACCATGTTGACCAGGATGGTCTTGATCTCTTGACCTCGTGATCCACCCGCCTTGGCCTCCCAAAGTGCTGGGATTACAGGCTTGAGCCACCGCGCCCAGCCTGTGTGTTTATTCTTTTGGCATAAAACTTTCTTTTTTTCTGGGGCAAGAACTCTTTCGTATATCACTTGTTTAGGGAGATCAGCAAACCATTTAAGACTTTTCTTAAGTATTCTTGCCATTTTCATTTCTGTTCTTGGAAGCAGAAGCCTAAGCTCTTTCTGCCAAAGGCTTTTATTTAGTTCTCCAGTCAATCCTATTCTTAGTAGGGTCTCCAAAGCAAACGCCTTCTCCTTTGTCTTCTTACTGCTATCTCCAAAAGGGTTCCATTTTTCTTTCTTTTTTTTTTCTTTTTTGAGACAGAGTCTCACTCTATTGCCCAGGCTGGAGTACAGTGGTATGATCCTGGCTCACTGCAACCTTCGCCTCCTTAGTTCAAGCAATTATCCTACCTCAGCCTCTTGAGTAGCTGGGAATACAGGCATGCACCACCACGCCTGGCTAATTTTTGGTAGAGATGGGGATTTGCCATGTTGGCCAGGATGGTCTCGAACTCCTAGCCTCAAGTGATCCACCTGCCTTAGCCTCCCAAAGGGCTGGGATTACAGGAGTGAGCCACCGCGCCCCGCTGGGCTTCCTCTTTCTAATTCTTCTCTCCTCATTTTACATATTTACTTCAAGCAATACCATTCTACCCACGACTTTGTGGGTGTTGGTGTCTATTATATCCAGCCTAAATCTTCTTAAGTACCAGCCTAGAGTGGCCTAATGGTCAATGTCATATAAACTTGGGTTTTAAAACAAGGCTTCCAATAAATTCTCCAATTTTTCTCAACTCTCTCTGAAAGGCCATCTTGTCAAAGTTATACATAGATACAAGTGTGTGTGTGTGTGTGTGTGTGTGTGTGTGTGTGTGCGCCCGCGCTTGCGCGTGCGTGTATCTCAATTTTCAGACAGTGTGCTATAGAATTTGAATCAAATACAAAAAATCTTTAACATGTCAGTATTAGCAGATGCGACACATTTTAAAATAATGAAAAAAGTGATTAAAGAAGATACCTAATAGCTAATGGCCAAACATACTGCTGCCACAATTTTGGATTTTATACAGGGTAATATATGAAGAAAATGAGGTACTCTGGTCAAATCAGTTTGGCAATGGACCTAATAGAATGTCTAATTCTACCATAATATGTTGTATTTCTTGATGTTAAGGACTATTTTCACTATTTTTGGCATTTTTATGATATAACACAAGTGTCTAGCAAATTAGATATATCTAACAAATGACTGTTTAATAAAGTAGATAATTTATATTTAATAATTTTAAAAGAAACAAAAATTTTTCCAGTTTGAGTGTCCAATTTTTTAACAATGGTGAAAATTAGAATGTTTAATTTTCTCTTATTAAATACACTAAGGTTTTATTTATAAATTAATAACAATATATTGCCAGGTCTCACTTCTGCATAAAATACAGCTTTATGGCATAATGGTAGTCCAGGATTTATTATAATTAAAAAAATGGGATTTCAATATACTCTGAAATAGATTTCAGATTTTTAATACACTCACAATTTCATTTTATATATATTTTAATATTTAAAAAGGACCAAATAGGGCATGTGGAGTAATGCTGTTATTTAAAGAAGTCTGTATTTTTCATAAACTTGCAAAAGGATAATGCTACCGAATATAACATTTGACTTTTCTGCTTAACAGCTACTACTTACATTTTAAATATTCTGGGGTTAATGAATCACTTTCCAGCAGATGAGTAGAGAGTATTTTATAAACCTCTGAATGTTCCCCTTCTGGGATAAAATTAAATATACTTTGATCCACAAGATCAGACTGAAAAGAAAATTTTAAAAAGTAAAACAGCTTTAATGATTCAAGAAACAATTATTTTTAAAGTACATAATCTCTATTAAACACAGAAGCTAACTTTCAAATGTCTGTGAAAACCAACAAATGTCAAGTTACAGACCAAATCTCAACAAACAAGACTGAGATGATACTAATGTCATCTGATCCATGACCAATATGATCTTGAAAGCCCGATAAATTATTTGCAAAGCTGTGTTTCACCAAAACATTTTGAACATTTCAGCATACAATGGGACCAAGAGCGTTAATAAGAAAAATCTCTGGTGACAATCATAGCCTTACCATATATTCAAACCTATGGTAAACAACGGTGGTATATCTTATTAGAAAGGGATAGGCACAAGCTAAATAAAAAAGAGACTTTACTTTGGTGTGATTTCAACTGTCCAATGTGTCCTTTATTTAATCTTTTCCTGGCATTTATCCTGAACCCCATTATAAAAAAGCCTTGTGTTTAGTTATAACTCCTCAAAAGGGCAACTAATATGCTAAGCATTATAATACTTGCTAATATATAGTTTTAATCATGATTAATCAATAGCAATTTGACAAATATCAGGTTGGCTACAATGTGCCACAGCTGTGGAATCACAGATAAGTAAGATAGTTCCTATGCTTAAGTACCACTGATAATGAAACTTCCATGACTTTACATTTGCTACTATGCATTCTACCTGGTTTTCTCCATTTCAAACTGCTCTGTGGAATCCTAGGGATACTGGGACAGAATCTCAAGGACTATAAAGGTGGGACTAGAGAGTAGAGAAATGAAAAGGAGCTGAGGCAGGACTCACGGTCCCCTGCATTAAAATAAAGCAGTTCTACTTTTTATTGTTTTTGTTTTATCCATCTGTAAAGATTTTGTTTGAAGAGCTCTGCTGCTTAAAAACAAAAACAACAACAAAGATAGGCGTATTGTATTAGTTTGGTGCCGTATTTTTAATGCGAAAACCGCAATCACTTTTGCATCAACCTGATACTACACTTCATATAAGCCACACATTCCCATCATTTCTTCTGTCTTTTTCTAGCCCTCTAAGCCCACTCTATGAAGTGAAATGACTTCCCCCCCGTATCTGTTCCTTCAACTGTCAAAGACCAGTTCTAATCACTTCTTTCAAGAAAGCATTCCCTTAACACCATAATCCACATTTAAAAAGATTCCTTTAGTATTTATTACTTGTATCATTCATTTCCCATTTAGCAGAATTCAACCAACTATGGATCGAAAATATTTGGGGAAAAAAAATGGATGGTTGTGTCTGTACTGAATATGTGCAGATATTTTTCTTGTCATTATTCCCAAAACACTACAGTATAACACCTATTTACACAGCATTCACATTGTATTAGGTATTATAAATAATCTAGAGATGATTTAACGTATATGGGAAAATGTGTGTAAGTTACATATAAATACAACAACATTTTATCTGTGAGGCATGAGCATCCGTGGATTTTGGTATCTGTAGTGGGCCCTGGAACCAATCCCCCAAGGATACCAAGGGATGACTATATTCTAATGTCTATGTCTTGTTGCCCTATAGGTCAATAGAAGGGCCCTATCTCTTACACCTTTATCTGTCTCACTTTCAATCAAGGCACATAAACACCATGCCTTGTATTTAACAGTTACTAGCACAATAAATGATTTTAGACTAAGGAGTATTTGATAATGGCTTAAGGGGTAACCAGACCAAAAATATATCTGTATTTTAATAAAGGATCCTTCTGGAAGTCTGAAAAGCCTCTAGAACTGAAGGAGTGAACTAAAAATTCAGGCATGGCTGGGTGTAGTGGCTCAGGCCTGTAATCTCAGCACTTTGGGAGGACAAGGCAGGTGGACTGAGGTCAGGAGTTCGAGACCAGCCTGGCCAAAATGGAGAAAAACCTCGTCTCTAATAAAAACACAAAAATTAGTTGAGCATGGTGGTGTGCACCTTTGCTCCCAGCTACTTAGGGGGCTGAGGCAAGAAAATCACTAGAATCTGGGGGGGCAGAGGCTGCAGTGAGCCGAGATTGCAACACCACACTCCAGCCTGGGCAACAGAACAAGACTCTGTCTTGAAAAATAATAATAATAAATAAATAAATAAATAAATAAAAATTCAGGCCCGAATAACATAAGTGCTAGAAAGTTGCCCTCTAATGACAAAATAAAGTATCAAAGTATAGTCTATGATATTCATGAAAAAAATTGTATGATATGGTTTGGCTGTGTCCCCACCCAAATCTTGTGTTGTTCCCATAATCCCCATGTGTTGTAGGAGGAGTCCAGTGGGAAGTAATTGAATCATAGCGCCAGTTACCCCCAAGCTGATGTTTTTGTGATACTGAGTGAGTTTTCCTGAGATCTGATGGTTTTGTAAAGGGCTTTTCCCCTTTTGCTCAGCATTTCTCTTTCCTGCTGCCATGTGAAGAGGAATGTGTTTGCTTCCCTTTCTGCCATGATTCTAAGTTTCCTGAGGCCTCCCCAGCCATGCTGAACTGTGAGTCAATTAAACCTCTTTCCTTTTAAATTACTCAGTCTTGGGCAGTCCTTTATAGGAGGGTGACAAGAGACTAATACATCATCTAAATAGAAAAATAAACCATCAACTTGAAATATTAATAGAAACTAAAATTTTCATTTTTTGAGAATGAGTATAGTTTTCTACTATTATTTCTTCTCTCTCTCTATTTTTTTTTTTTTTTAGATGGAGTTTCTCTCGTTACCCAGGCTGGAGTGCAATGGCGTGATCTTCGCTCACTGCAACCTCTGCCTCCTGGGTTCAGGCAATTCTCCTGCCTCAGCCTCCTGAGTAGCTGGGATTACAGGCATGCACCACCATGCCCAGCTAATTTTTTGTATTTTTAGTAGAGACGGGGTTTCACGATGTTGACCAGGATGGTCTCAATCTCTTGACCTCGTGATCCACCCACCTCGGCCTCCCAAAGTGCTGGGATTACAGGCGTGAGCCACCGTGCCTGGTACTCTACTATTATTTCTTAAAAAAATTTCTTCTACTACTATTTGGTAAACTATGATGTGACCTGTCTTGCCCTTGTTTTTCCATCTACTATTACTTCTTTCTTTCCTTATTTTTTTTGTTGTTGAGATGGAGTCTCACTCTGTCGCCAGGCTGAGGGTAGTGGCATGATCTCAGCTCACTGCAACCTCCGCCTCCTGTGTTCAAGCGATTCTCTTGCATCAGCCTCCCAAGTAGCTGGGGCTACAGGCATGCACCACCACACCCAGCTAATTTTTATATTTTTAGTAGAGACAGGGTTTTACCATGTTGGTCAGGATGGTCTTGATCTCTTGACCTCATGATCCACTCGCTTTAGCCTCCCAAACTGCTGGCATTACAGGCGTGAACCACCGCGCCCAGCCTATTATTTCTTACTATTTCTTCTACTACTATTCAGTAAATTATGATATGACTATCTTCCCCTTGTCTTCCATCTATAATTTCATAGGATGTTTCATATTCATAAAGAAAACAAAATGAATGGCTAGTATCAAGAACAGTATGATCACAAGCAATGCCTCCCCAACTATTCTGCCTCTCCTGCCACTTTATAATTAATAGGTGTCAAACTTTCCATTAACCACTATACTTAAAATCTCTAAATGAGGCTGACCATATTTGATGTGGTCATACATCCACTCAGTTCTCAAATCCTAATCAAACAAAATATACTTTTCTAATTCTCTACCCTTTTGGTGATAATGAAGGAATTAAAATATGGCCAATATGACACTAGCAGTTCAAAGTCACATAGCATAAAAAGTTCTGTATCTACTATTTTTAGAGTCTTTCTACAAGTAATTCTATTGGGAAAAGTATTTACAAGTTGCCCTAATTGCAACAAATATCTCAGCAGAAATTTAGTTATTCTCAAGACATTCTCAGTTGAAATTAACATTTTCAACAGGCTGATTAAAACAGAAATGCTAAAAAGTTAGCACTAGAATAAAGGAGAGAGGAAAAAGAGAGGTCAGATAAAGTGGTACGGCCTTGCATTGCATAACAATGTTTCAGTCAATAATGAACTCCATATATGACCACAGGTGGTCCCCTAGATTATAGCAGAGCCGAAACATTCCTACTGTCTAGTGATGTCGTCTCTGTTGTAATGTCATAATCAATGCATTACTCATCTTTTACACTTGTTTGTGGTGATGCTTGTGTAAACAAACCTATTGTGCCACCAGTCATATAAAAGTTTAGCACATAAAATCATATACAGTACATATGTACATGATAATAAACAATCATGCTACTAGTTTATGTATTTACTCTATCTTTAATGATTTAGAGTATTCTCCTTCTATTTACATGTATTTTTAAAGTTAACTCTAAATCAGCCTCAGGCAGGTCCTTTAGGGGGTATTTCAAAAGGGCACTATAAATATAAAGATGACAGCTCCATATCTGTTGCTGCTCCCGAAGACCCTCCAATGGGGCAAGATGTGGAAGTGGAAGACAGTGATGTTGATGATCCTGACTTTGCATAGGCCTAGACTAATGTGTGTCTGTGTCTTAGTTTTAAACAAAAATGTGTAAAAAGTTTTTTCAAATAGGAAAAAGCTTTTGAAACAAGGATATAAAGAAAGAAAATGTTTTTGTATAGCTGTACAATCTTTTTTTTTTTGAGGCAGGGTCTTGCTCTGCAACCCAGGCTGGAGTGCGGTGACACTATCACGGTTCACTTTAGCCTTGGCCTCCTAGGCTCAATGCAATTCTCCTAACTCAGCCTCCCGAGTAACTGGGACCACAGGGGCAAGCCACGACACTTGGCTAATTTTTATGTTTTGTTTAGAGACACGGTTTCACCATGTTGCCCAGGCTGGTCTCAAACTCCTAAACTCAAGCAATCTGCCAGCCTTGGCCTCCCAAAGTGTTAAGAAGCTAAGTGTTACTACAAGAGTAAAAAAGTTTTAAAAAGTTTTTAAGTTTACACAGTAAAAAAATTACAATAAGCTAAGGTTAATTTATTATTGAAGAAAAAATTTACATATAAAGTAGCCCAAGTGTACAGTGTTTATAAAGTCTATAAAGGTGTACAGTACTGTCTTAGTACTTCACATTCACTCATCACTCATGCACTGACTCACCCAAAGCAACTTCCAGTCCTGCAAGTTTCATTCATGGTGAGTGCCCTACACAGGTATACCATTTTTTATCTTTGATACTGTATTTTTATTGTACCTTTTCTATGTTTAGTATTTTTAAACATATAAATAATTGTTGTGACAACTGCCTATAGTATTCAGCACAGTAGCATGCTGTACAAGTTGTAGTCTAAGAGCAACAGGCTATACCATATAACCTAGGTGGGTAGTAGGTTATACATCTAGGTTTGTATAACTACACTCCATGACGTTCACACAGTGACAAAAGTGCCTCAGAACATATTCTCATTGTTTAGTGATGCACAACTGTAGTTGAATATTAAAGTTACTACAGATTAGAGAGTTATGACTGAGCTGAGAAAACACATGCTAAAACAAAGACATACTTAAAGCTCTTATCCCTACTCCATTAACCACTATTCAACATTGCTCTCAAAGTTCACTTCCTAGTGCTTTAGAATATTTAAAATACGCATTTTAATTAGAGGTAGATTGTAGGATCTTCATACTTACTGGTAAATGTTCAAGTAATGAAGTTACACTCTCGGACACATATATTATGCTTCCATCTGTCATGATTGCTAAAAAAAAACCATCAAGAGCCTGAAATTAAACATAATGGTATGTTAAACGAAAAGAAAAAAGTATTTCGCAGGACAGAGATAAATGACAAGGGATTTAATATGAAAATATCCAAAGTTCTGTCAAAATATATACTAGCTTTCCCCCTTTACAATACCTTGGTATGTATCTTCGTTCATTTTTAAATGCTTCTGTAGAAAAAAAGTCTCTCTCTGGCCATCCATCGGACAACTAGTCTCTAAAAGGTAGAGACAATGCTCTACCTTCATCACTATGTATATTACATGATTCAACCATGTATATATAGTATTATGTCTTATTTGAAGATGCTGACATCTCCAAAGCACACAAGACATCAACAATGCTTTTTAGGCACACAAAATAACATATTGTTATTATCATGGCTATGTTAACACAGAGGTATATGTTTGAAGTTTAAGGAGATATATGGAGAATAAAGTAAAAGAGAGTAGCAGGAAATTAAGGTGAAAAATTAGGCTGAGGTCATATCATAAAAGGTTTTGAATACAAGGCTAAGATTAAGAATTTTATTCTGTAAACAATGGTAAGCCAACAGAAAATTTTAGGGCACGGGCTGTGCTTCATTAAGAGCAGTGTGGAAGCAGAGCGAAAAATGGATTTAGAAGGAAAAGAAAACATAATTAGGAAAATCATAGTGGCTTTTGGAATAATTAAGGAAGTTAACGGGAATTGGAATGAAATCAGTAGTATTAGGAATAAAGAAAGTACTCTGAGCAAGCGTTGAGAAATGTGAAGTTCGATTTCAGAAGAGAATTCAGAGCAGGCAGTACAAGACTTAATAATAAAGCAATTTTGTACTGTGTACACTACAACATATTTTCATTTGAGAGTCCTAGGCACAGAAGTGACAGCTGAAGAAATCAGATCTGCAAAAGACAAATCCTGAAAGAATTATCTATATATATATGGGATGAAGAAGATAAAAAAAGGCAAGAGAAAATGAGAGAGAAGGCTGGGTGCAGTGGCTTATGCCTGTGACGATAGCACTTTGGGAAGCTGAGGTGGGAGGATCACTTGAACCCAGGAGTTTGAGACCAGCCTGAGCAACATGGTAAAACCTTATCCCTGCAAAAATTTTAAAAATTAGCCAAGAGTGGCAGCACATGCCTGTGATCCCAGCTGCCTGGGAGGCTGGGGTAAGATCACTTGAGTCCAGGAGGTTGGGGCTGTGGTGAGCTATGATCGCGTCACTGTACTCCAGCCTGGGCAACAACAGAGTGAGATCCTGTCTCATAATAGTAATAAAAATAAAAATTTTTTAAAAAAGGAAAATAATAGAGAACACAGAATATGCTGTCACCAAGGAATCAATGGAAGAGAGAATTAGAAAGTGAAGAGGAGAGAAATGGTTTGGTATAAAATGAGATAAAATAAGACATAAGAAAATGAAAAATGAATTTTGGTGATTTTCAAAAAGTTATGTTAAAGGAAGACAAATCGGACTACAATGAGTTTAAAAATGAGTGCATAATCAGAAGACTATTACAAATCACTCATTCATCAACTTTAGAAGGGAAGAAAAAGGCAAACGGTTCTAAGGGGGCCAAATATCAAGAGAAGGCATTTTAAAAAAAAGAGCAATTAAATTTGAAGGCTAAGGGAAAGAAGGATCCAGTAGAAAAGCAGAAGATACATTGCAGAAAAGATACTATAAGAGGGATTCTTCTTTTAAAGTGGTTAACATACTAAGCTCTAATTTCTTGTTTAATTAAATAGCTCTCGAAAAGGATAGTGACCTCTGGTAGGAACCATGTATATCTTATTAATCCTTTTATGTGCAGCACTAGTGTAGCACAAGAAAAAGTACTTGCAATATATAATTTATAGAGCTGGGAGTTAGAGTAACCTTCCCTAACTCTATATCATTGATAAATTATAGAAAAAAGGTATCCTCCCCCATGTCCCCTCCTTTTGGGAAAGAGATCTGGATATCATAAAGAACTTATTCGGAGTAGATGCCTATCTTCTAGAATGACTCAAACAAACTAGTCGTTGCTAACAGAGAAATCTTATCATTTGAGCAAACTCATGAATTATTTTTTTTTTAAATTCTTTAGTATAATAATGCCAGTATTATTATTTCATAACAGGGTCAAAAGTAAACAACTGTTGGCCAGGCACAGTGGCTCACGTTTGTAATCCCCACTTTGGGAGGCCGAGGTGGGTGGATCACTTGAGGCTGAGTTCAAGACCAGCCTGACCAACATGGTAAACCTCGTCTCTACTAAAAATAAAAAAATTAGCTGGGCATGGTGCCACATGTAATCCCAGCTATTCTGGAAGCTAAAGTGGGAGAATGACTTGAACCTGGGAGGCAGAGGTTGCAGTGGGCATATCATGGGTGACTGAACAAGACTCCATCTCAAAAAAAAAAAAAAAAAAAAAAAAAAGAAGGCAACTATTCCTTAATTTCTCCATCTGAAAGCAAGAAAGAGACACTACTGTCTACTTCCACTTCATAATACTAGCTATTATGACACATACATACTAATGTCTATTTCATGAGAGTGTTGCAAGGATTCAATGAGTTAATATATAAAAATTGCTCACTTATTTTTCTGATTTAAAGTATAGGCTTAAATGTTTATATTTATACTCCAACAAATTTTCATTTGGAAACGTTTCTGCTGAATAATGAATTAATCACACAATTGCCCCATCTAAAATACAAACAGAAAAATAACTCAATTTGCAAAATACTCTACCTTGCTTCAGACTCTAGTAAGTATACAAAGACACTCGATACATGGCCATAATGTATTTATACAGGCATATCTTATTCTACTGTGCTTTGTTTTATTCAACTACACAGTTACTGGATGTTGGTTTTTTTGTTTTGTTTTTGTTTTTTTTTTTTACAAAATGAAGATTTGTTGCAACCCTGTGTCAAGCAAGTCTATCAGCGTCGTTTTTTTCAATTAGCACATATTCTTTGTGTCTCTTGTATCACATTTTAGTAATTCTTGCAATATTTCAAACTTTTTCATTATTATTGTATCTATAATGGTGATCTGCCCACATAAGATGGTGAACTTAAATGTTGTATGTGCTCTGACTGCTCCACCAACTGAATGGCCATTCCCCCATCCCTCTCCCTCTTCTTAGAATTCCCCATTCCCTGAGACACCCAGCAATATTGAAATTAGGCCAATTAGTAACTCTACAATGGCCTCTAAGTATTCAAGTGAAAGGAAAAGTCCCTCATCTCTGACTTTAAATCAAAAGCTAGATGTGATTAAGCTTAGTAAGGATGGCATGTTGAAAACTGAGACAGGTTAAAAGCTAGACCTCTTGTACTAAACAGGTAGCAAAGTTGTAAATAAAAAAGAAAAGTTTTAGTGAACGTGTATAAGAAAGTGAAAGTCTTATTCTTGATATGGAGAAAGTCTGAGTGGTCTGCACAGAAGATCTAAAACCAGCCACAACATTCCCTTAAGCCAAAGCCTAATCTAGAGCAAGGACTTAACTGTCTTCAATTCTGTGAAGGCAGAGAGAGGTAACGAAACTACAGAAGAAAATTTAGAAGTGAGCAGAAGTTAGTTCATGAGGTATAAAGAAAGAAGCCATCTCTACAACATAAAAGTGCAAGGTGAAGCAGCAAGTGCTGATGTAGAAGCTACAGCAAGTGATCCAGGAGATCTAGGTAAGATCATCCATGAAAATGGCTACAGTAAATACTAGAGTTTAACTGTAGATGAAACAGCCTTCTATTGGGAGAAGACGCCATTTAGAAATTTCAAAGCTGGAGAAGAGAAGCCAAAGCTGCCTTCGAAGCTTCAAAAGACAGGCTAACTGTCTTGTCAGGGGCAAATGCAGCTGGTGACTTTTAAGTTGAAGCCAATGTTTATTAACCATTCTGAAAGTCTCAAAGCCCTTAAGAAGTATGTTAAATATACCAGCATATGTTCTGTAAATAGAGCAACAAAGCCTGGATGACAGAACACCTGATGACAGCACATCTGTTGACAGCATGGTTCACTGAACATTTAAAGCCCACTGTTGAGACCTACTGGTGAGAAAAATAGATTCCTTTCAAATATTATTACCCATTGACAATGCACTTGGTTGCCCAAGAGTGGTGATGGAGATGAGATGTACAAGGAGGTTAATGTTGTTTTCATGCCTGCTAACACGACATCCATTCTGCAGCCCATGGGTCAAGGTTTAATTTCAACTTTCAAGTCTTACTTAAGAAATACATTTCATAAGGCTATAGCTCCCATAGATAGCGATTCCTGTGATGGATCTGGGTAACATCAATTGAAAACCTTCTGGAAAGAATTCACCCTTCTAGATGGCGTGAGAACATTTGTGGTTCATGGGAGAACATCAAAATATCAACATTAAGAGGAGTTAAGTAAAAGTTGATTCCAACCCTGTAGATAACTTTGCGGGGTTCAAGATATCAGTGGAGGAAGTAACTGCAGATGTGGTGGAAATAGCAAGAGAATTAGAATTAGAAGTGGAGTCTGAAGATGTGACTAATTGCTGCAATTTCCTAATAAACCTGAACTGATGAGGAGTTGCTCCACTGAAAGAAAGTGGTTTCTTGAGATCAACTCTACTCCTGATGAAGATGTGAATATTGCTGACATGACAGCAAAGGATATAGGATATTACATAAACTTAGTTGACTGAGCAGCAGCAGGGTTTGAGAGTATTGACTATAATTCTGAAAGAAGTTCTATTCTGTGTAAAATGCGATCAAACAGCACGTTACAGAGAAATCTTCTTGAAAGGAAGAGTCAATTGATGTGGCAAACTTCATTGTTGACTTATTTTAAGAAATTGCCTCAGCCACCCCAACCTTCAGCAACCACCACCCTGATCAGTTAGTAGCCACTGACACTGAGGCAATACCTTCTACCAGCAAAAAGATTAAGACTTGCTGAAGGCTCAGAGGATTGTTAGCATTTTTTGCCATAAACTTTTTAAATTTAGGTATGATCAATTTTTTAAATGTATAACGCTATCACACACCTAATAGACTACAAAACAATTCATGTGACTCATTTTATTAAAACATTAGCTTTTTGCAGTGGTCTGGAACTCAACTCTCAATATCGCAAAGGTATACCTGTATATTAAGTTACTCTGTGATTTCTTTTTTGAGAAAAATAAAAACTTTCAAAAATTAAATCTGGACATACCTCTAACATTAATTGTGTAAACTCTTCATTACTAAGGAATGTAGGTTTCCAGTCCTGTCGAATTTCACTAGCATCTGACTGTGCAGTGATTTCTGTAAACAGATTGACACATTAGTGGCATACTCGAACCACTGGAGGAGTACAAAAGCCCTACAAGTTGTCTTCTCTCTTCCCACTCTAAAGATGGCAACCACAGGCCTTAACATTTACTGGGTAGATAGCAATAGGTCTAGGTTTTGGTATGATGAAATATATGAGATATCATGGCAAGTTATTTCCTTGGATTTGTTCTCTTACGAATACCAGTCTCTTTATAGTTTTTCTCTTGGTGCTCTAACAGTTATGTTGCTGATAGGCCTAACTTTGCTTCCTATTTGACATGACCAAATGAGATTTTTGCTCCAAGAATTTTGAAGAAATTCTTTTTTTTCCCCTTTTCATTCCCTTGCCAGTCAAATGGTAACGTCTAGAGGAGCTCTAGGGAAATTAGATGAGAAGCCCAAAGAGGTCACTCAATTTGCTTTTAACAAAGAAGACAGTTCTGCCTACTGCTGGGCATAAAGCTTCTTCCCAATATTAAGTGCTTTATCTTAATTAATCAAAGACAATTAACATTTTGTGCAAAATCTTTACTACAGTAATATTCTCACAGTGATTTTTCTTAGTGTCCTCTTTGTACAAGTTAGTAGTAGAGACCTGGTCAAAAATTTGGAGATCCCTACTTTGGGACATAGATTTGTCACAATTATTACTATTTTACTATATACTTCTAATAGATGTGGTTATCGAAAAACTATTCATAAATAATGAAACCTAGTAACAAATGTTTTTTTATTTTTAAATGAAGACATATTAAAACAAGCAGGCAGAATAAAAATCCATGACATAGACTACATTCTACAAAATATACTCTACTTTGTAGTAAGTATAAACTAAATTCTGATTCTATCATCAGATACAGAAATACAAACATACTGTCCCTCACAACTTAGCATATTAGAAATGCCTGTAGTGGAATGCGAAGAGTAACTAAGAAGTATAGCTACAAAATGTGTGGAATACGGTTGGCTTTTCAAATTCACATCAATTATAAACATCTGGGAAAAAGATTTAAATCCATAAACAAATCCAATAAAGTTTCATTAAACACAGGCCTATTTTAGGATGATATGTATATGAAATCCTTTTACCTTAACAGAAATACTATTTTTGTGAGAATTACGTATCTGACTTTGAAAAAACAACAAAAAAAATCTACCTAATGCCAAAATTCATCCTCTATTGTCAGGGGGAAATGTATGCCTTTCATTTCATTCAACAATCATTTATTGAACTCCTAGTATCTTGGGACTGATTTCCATGAGTGTGCCATTTAACAGCAGGCACTGAAGTTGGTGAGATACTACTTGTAGAGGTAAAATGTAATGATAGTGGTGGCAATAAATATTGACACATTTACAGAAGAATCAACAGAATTTGGCAACTGTGATAAGGTGCTAAGGAAGCTTAAAAAAAAAAACCTAAAATTTTTTCAGGTTTGAGTCTTAGGTGATTAAAAGGATGGCGGTATAAAAATAAAAAAAGGCAAGTGAAGAGAAAGAGGTTAAGTTGACAAAATAAAAATTCAGTTTTAGATGCACTGAGTTGGAGGACATGCAACAGAAAGATCTAGAAGTTATCTGGAAATACAAGGCTAAAATGTTTGCATCTAAAAACAGAAATCTGGTAGTTTAATAGAGACATAATAGCTGAAGCTATGGAATGAGATAAGCAAGAGAAAGAGTGTACAGAAAGCAAGAGAACAAGGATAAGACTTAGGAATGTAACATTTAGAGGGTAGAAAAAGAGGAAAGAAATTAGTTTCAGTGAGAAAAGGGAAGGTGAAAGTACAGTCAATATAAAGGAAGCCAAGGGAGGAGGGATAAAAATTTCCAGAGCTATAGAGATGCAGAAGAAGATGAGATATAAGAAAAAGCTATTGTTTTATTAGGGGGTAGGAAGGTAATGTCATTAGTTAAATTAATAAAAACAGTTTCAATGAGTGGTGGAGCATAAACCGGTCTGGAAAGGGCATTACCAACTGAGCTACACAGAATTAAAACAGAGACACTAATTACTAACCGTACTGAGTTTTACAGTTTCATTCACATTTGAAAAAGGAAATTTCCTTTTACAGGTTTTTTTTGTTTTGTTTTCAAATCTATTATCTCTATTAGCAAAATAATTAATATCCTTTAAATTTTCTTTTCATGACTCATTTGTCAAGATGATTTTCTTCAATTAACAAATACTTTATTGGCCGGGCGCGGTGGCTCAAGCCTGTAATCCCAGCACTTTGGGAGGCCGAGGCGGGTGGATCACGAGGTCAAGAGATCGAGACCATCCTGGTCAACACGGTGAAACCCCGTCTCTACTAAAAATACAAAAAACTAGCTGGGCATGGTGGCGCCTGCCTGTAATCCCAGCTACTCAGGAGGCTGAGGCAGGAGAATTGCCTGAACCCAGGAGGCGGAGGTTGCGGTGAGCCGAGATCGCACCATTGCACTCCAGCCTGGGTAACAAGAGCGAAACTCCGTCTCAAAAACAAACAAACAAACAAACAAAAAACAAACAAAAAAAAACCAAATACTTTATTTTAAAATATAGTGATGATTTACTAGATATACATTGAAACAACGTTTCAAAATGACATGAGAACTGTGTACGATCTAGCTTTTTCCTTTCTTTCAAATACGCCCACAATTTTCCAGCACAAATATGCTTCAGTGACAATGAAGTCTCCCTGCTTCTCTGCTTTTGCACATACTCCCTTTGTGTGACATGCTGTCTTCCTTTCTTAATCTAACAGAAAAACTCTGTTGAAAAATCAACTATTTTTAAAGTCTCCCTGACACATTCTTTCTTGTGTTTTTACTGCAAACAGTTTACAAGCACTATTCACATTATAATTATTTGTAATTATGTGCTTACATGTTTGTCGGCCCTGGCTTGACTTACTTGAAAGCCAGGACTGTTACCCTGTATCATGAGGATTCAGCATGTAGTAGGCACAGAATAAATGTTTGTTGAATGAAAGAATGGATTAGGAAATCTTTTAAAATGCAATTGATTTCTCTCTCTTAATAAAGCCAAGGAAGCATCCAATCTGAAGCATCTCTGCCAAGATTCTAACTCATGCTTTGAGAGTCACTTCCATTTTACAAAGCTAAAAATTTACCTTTATGTTTTCGTAAAAAATCAATGCTTTTCTGCAGAACGGTAGATTTGTCCATCTTTCTAGCATTACCAGGAAGCATGGATCCCAGTTCTTTAATGAGAACATTAAATTGATCTCTACGTTTCTTTTCAGATTTGTTTCTAGATACTCTGATAAAATGAAAAATATGCATTTTTAAAAATAATCCATTTAAGAACACAAATAGTTAATACAATATTAATTTAGACATAACACAGCATGTACTTCTATCAACATAGATGTTAACAGTAGGTTACCAACAATATACAGCTAATTTGGGCAATAATTTTTTAGCTCAGTTTTGTCACTAAAGAAAATTTTACAGGCCGGGCGCGGTGGCTCAAGCCTGTAATCCCAGCACTTTGGGAGGCCGAGGCGGGTGGATCACGAGGTCGAGAGATCGAGACCATCCTGGTCAATGTGGTGAAACCCCGTCTCTACTAAAAATACAAAAAGAAAAAATTAGCTGGGCATGGTGGCGTGTGCCTGTAATCCCAGCTACTCAGGAGGCTGAGGCAGCAGAATTGCTTGAACCCAGGAGGCGGAGGTTGCAGTGAGCCGAGATGGCGCCATTGCACTCCAGCCTGGGTAACAAGAGCGACACTCTGTCTCAAAAAAAAAAAAAAAAAAAAAAAAAGAAAATTTTACAAATCATGCATTTGACATACATGTTTACAAGAAAATGTCAGTAAGAAAAACCGCACTCAAATCACAGGTTTTATTTAATCCAATACTTACCAATGACTGTTAACTTATATGGTTATTATAAATATATGTACTAAATGAATAATGACTGCTATTCTATGTGAAGCAGTAACCAGTAAACAAAGAGCTATTAAGACAAATAAACTTGATTATTTATAAAACAATCATTTTATGATACCTGTAATTATATGCTTTGGGAAATCAGATTTTCTAGCTCAATTTCTGTTTAAGCAAAGCACAACACTTTTCCAAAAGGTCAGAGGTATTTAATTTATAAACTACAGGCCAATATTCTAAATTCTTCTACCTTGCTAATATATCTAAACTCTTAAAGCAGATAGCTTTTGGAAATCATTAATTTATAATTTATTTACCATTACATTTATCTATTATTCATTTATTTACTATTTTACATCTCTAATCAAAGTACCTTTTTGCTTTGTCCTTGTCATCTTCTTCCACCAACCCATCAAAAATACTACTGTCATCTCTAAAAGAAAGCAGAGAGAAAATAAGAGCAGACTCACTAAGCAACAGCAATACTAAAATGACATGTAAATCAACTCAATTATACTCAAGGATTTTTTTTAAAAGTTAATGGATCATAAAATTCAAACTAAACTATTTCCTAATAAACATTAGAAAATAAAAATTCAGTAATAGCTGATATTTTTTAAAGTTTATTACATATATAAACTGTAAAAATATTTATACTTAGCTATATTATGAACATATGCTAAACAAGAATTTAACCAGTTTAAATATCTTTTTTCAAACTTTTAGTAATCACTAAAAACTTGAAGAAAGTCAGTGTTTGCCATTATATAAAATTATTTTTGTTAACAGCATAATTTTTTCTGAGATATTTACTTTAAAAAACCACAAATTACTTACAAACATCACAATATCTAATGCATTAACTTGTATTAATACATTTCATTCATTTACTAATTCATTTCACAAATATGTCTTAGCACTCATGTGCCAGGCTCTGTTCTGGATGTTTAATAAGCAATGAACAAGACACTTAGCTGCTTTCCTACAGCTCTTCTTTTCTTTTTCACTTTTTTCTGGAAGCAGGGTTTCACTCTGTTGCCCAGGCTGGAGTGCAGTTGCACGATCATGGCTCCTGCAATCTCAACCTCCTGGGCTCAAGCAGTCCTCTTGCCTCAGTATCCTGAGTAGCTGGGACCACAGGTACACAACACCATACTCAGCTAGTTTTTTATTTTTTGTAGAGACAAGGGTCTTGTTATATTGACTAGGCTGGTCTCGAACTCCTAGGCTCAAGTGACATTCCCACCTAAGCCTCCCAAAGTGTTGGCATTACAGGGATGGGCTGCCATGCCCAGCCTTATTTTCTAGTAGAAAGAAACAAATGTAAAAATGGGTGATGTTTTAATTTTTTTTTAAAGGCATGATGTTTGAGTTACTAGAGTCTGAGTGGTTAGGAAAGGACTTATTAAGGAGGGGACATGTAAGCTAGGAGCTGGCTATGGGAAAACGTAAGGAAAGACCACTTCTAAAAAATGAAATCAAGAGCACAGGTGGCTAACTCAACCCTAAGAGCTATATTAAAGTTTTTCCTGATTTATGAAGTTTTTTTTTTTAATTTTTTTTTTATTGTATTTTAGGTTTTGGGGTACATGTGATGAACATGCAAGATTGTTGCATAGGTACACACATGGCAGTGTGCTTTGCTGCCTTCCGTCCCCTCACCTGTATCTGTCATTTCTCCCCATGCTATCTCTTCCCACCTCCCCACCCCCCGCCCCTCCCCCATTTCCCCCCAACGGACCCCAGTGTGTAGTGCTCCCCTCCCTGTGTCCATGTGTTCTCATTGTTCAACACCCGCCTATGTGCGAGAATATCCAATTATGTGGTCAATTTTAGAGTAGGTGTGATGTGGTGCTGAGAAGAATGTATATTCTGTGGATTTGGGGTGGAGAGTTCTGTAAATGTCTATTAGGTTTGCTTGTTCCAGGTCTGTATTCAGGTCCTGGATATCCTTGTTGATTTTCTGTCTGGTTGATCTGTCTAATATTGACAATGGGGTGTTAAAGTCTCCCACTATTATTGTGTGGGAGTCCAAGTCTCTTTGTAAGTCATTAAGAACTTGCCTTATGTATCTGGGTGCTCCTGTATTGGGTGCGTATGTATTTAGGATCGTTAGCTCTTCTTGTTGCAGTGATCCTTTTACCATTATGTAATGTCCTCCTTTGTCTCTTTTGATCTTTGTTGCTTTAAAGTCTATTTTATCAGAGATGAGAATTGCAACTCCTGCCTTTTTTTGCTCTCCATTTGCTTGGTAGATCTTCCTCCATCCCTTTATTTTGAGCCTTTGTGTATCCTTGCATGTAAGATGGGTTTCCTGGATACAGCACACTGATGGGTTTTGGCTTTTTAATTTACGAAGTTTTATATGAATTCACTATTCACTCCTATACCCACACCTTTCTATAGCCTATAAACTATAAAATGGGGTCACTATTGGGATCATCTTTAACACCTTTATCTTTAACATCTTTATCATGGAGGTCCATGTATGAACTTTGGGGATTCCATGTATGCCCCAAAGTTTACAAAAAATTTTTTATTTATATGTATTTTTCTGAGGACAGAGTTAATAACTTTCATGATATTCAGAGATAAGGAACTCATATTAACAATCACTGCTTTATGTCTGAAAACAGAGATGTCATCCCTAGATGTCATACTATCTAGAATGGGAAAGGCATAATACCAAATTCATAGTTTCTCCCTCAGAGGCAGTGAAGAAGTATCTTTTCTGAGAAAAAGACTATCATTAATCCTGCCTGCAACTTTGGCACAGTTCAAAGCTATGACCATGGTGCAGGCAGCCCTCTCTAAGGAATTTTCTTGCTCCTCAGATCTTAAGTTTTGGTGGGGTATATATCTTTACTATTTAGCTCATAGAAAGGGAGAAAGCTGACCCCGGATGTCAAAAGTCACTTCTGTGTACAAGTCTAGCTGCAAAACCCTTAAAGAATCTCCAATGGATGAAGCACACAGTACAGCGCAATAAAAGTATAGCAACTTTAATGTCAGACACACCAACACAAGTAAAAATTCTAGATCACATCTTACTAGCTATGTGGCTTCAAACAAGTAACAACCTTCTGACCTACAGTTTTCTCATCTGTAAAATTTTACAGATTTGTTAAGGTTAAATGAAACAGCATATAAAAAGGTATTCTGTACATCTGCTGTCAGAGCAGATGCTTTAAAAATGTTATTGGATTATATCAAATTAAAGATATTATTGACTGTTAAGACCACCACTATTTTATGTGCCCTTAAGAAAAAAAAAAAAGAGTGCTACCAATTAAATTATGAGAAGAGATGCTAAAATGTGAAAAATAAAGACAACTTAAAGTCTTTTCTATTTTTACGTTAGGTTCACGGGTATTATGTGCAGGTTTTTCATGCGGGTAGATTGCGTGTCACTGAGGTTTGATGTACCAATGATTTCAGCACCACCCAAGTAGTAAGCACAGTACCCAATAGTTTTTAACCCTCGCTGCCCACTTCCACCCTCCTCCAAAAATTTCAAGTATTAAAATCATAGGAATATGGAGATTTACCCTTTTCCCAAAAGTAAGATGTAAAGATTACAATTTTAACTAATGAAATCTTAATTACAGTTACCTCTTATCAGTCACAAATGCAAAGATGTTTGAAGGGATAAAATTAGATAAGGAGAAAAAGGACTCTACAAGGTTCCAAGGAAACATTTGCAACTATCAGAATTTCCTTCAGAGCAGCTATGACCAAATCACTCAAAATTACAGCTCAGGACTCATTTAAAACACAAGCCATATGCTGCTGACTTTAGCTCTAGAAAATACTGATAAGACCGTGCTTATTTTTACACTGTATTTATTTAACAAAGAAACCGAATGCAATAATAATTATGTTTAAGAATAAAACTCCTTCTATCAATTTCATATTGACCATTATACTAATAGTTCATTTTAAATAACTATATATAATTTAAAATAACAGTCTTCAAGAACATACCTGTCAACAATCGAGCTCATTTTACCACAGCTTACGGTAAACAACATAACATACTACGTTTTCGTCTTGTGGTAGACATTTGTACTTCTCCTTAGGTGAAAAAAATAATAATAAATGGTCATTAGTTTTCTAAAAATCTTATTTCCACAAGGTTATCTAGAGAAATACTATATGTAATCACACAGACTTCAAAATGTTTTATTTGTACTGAAGACTAGAACACTATTTTCAAGCAAATACCTATGGCTGAAGTACATTTGAGGCTTTTTTTCCCTCCTAAAAAAGAACTACAAGAAAAAAAGTAATTCAGGTTAATATTAACTATCTCTTTACTATCAAATAATAAAAATAAAATGGACATTCTCAATATTCAGTATATATTTAACTATATAACTTTAAATAGTCTGTAATAACACCATCGATTCAGCAATAAATATTTGCTTGAAAGCCTATTTTCTGCTAAACAGTATAGCAGGCTTTGGGTATACAACAGTCCTTGTAGAAAGACATAGTCCCTGTAGAAAGACACAGTCCTTGTAAAAAAAATTTACAATTGAGCAGGAAGATAGATACCTAAATAATTATAGTAAGAGGAATAATGAAGGTATATACTGTGTAATGCTATCACTGGGCAAGGAACAATTATGCGTACCTGTGGAAATTGGAGGGGGAAAACAGAGGAAGTATTCCTGATGACAGTTAAGTCTATGAAGGAGTCAAGATTTTTTTTTTACTGCAAATATGGTATAGGGATGGGCAGCATCAGCATCCTCGGAGAGCTTGTTTTCAAAGACAAAATCTTAGGCCCTATCCTAGTATTAATGAACCAGAATCTAAATTTTTACAAGGGCTCCATGTGATAGTGTATGACCATTTAAGTTTGAGAAGCAACAGGCTGGAGGACAGAAACAGGTAATAAGTGAAAGAATTCTAAGTGACAGGAATGGTAATTTGTATAGGCACAGATTTTAGTGAGAGAAGAGAATATTAAACTTGAGAAACTAAGAGGTTTAGCATTTTCCTTATGGAAAACCTGCCATGTTACAATTTAAAGTTTTAATTACTAGAGCATAAAATGAGAATACAAGTCGTAAAATGGCAAATGCAAGCCAAGTACAGGAAAGCCTTACTATAAAGACTCATACCCAAATTGAAGGCAGTAAAACTTACTGCTTCAAAGCTGGATCAAAAGCCTAAAATTTGTCTCTCTATATTCTGCAGGTTGAGTATCCCTAATCTGAAAACCTGAAATCCAAAATGCTCCAAAATCTGAAAGCTTTTGAGCATCAACATAACAATTCAAAGAAAATGTTCACTGGAGCGTTTCTAAATCAGAGAAGATTAAAGATATTGCAAGAACATGAGATTCTAAAACATTCAGTCACTGTTTTCAAATGAACCTTCATGAGAAGAAGGGAGAAGCACCCCTGGTGGCACTGCCGCATTGCCTATGTGGTTAGTCTGCAGGAGTAGAATTGTGAGGGGCTCAGAATTTTTTTTTTCTTTTTGTTTTTGAGATGGGGGTCTCCCTCTGTTGCCCATGCTGAAGTGCAGTCATGGGATCACAGCTCACTGCTGCCTTGAAATCCTGGGCTCAAGCAATCCTGTCACTTTAGCCTCCTGAGTAGCTGGGATTACAGGTGCTTGCTACCATAGTCAGGGCTAAGAGTTTTTAAAAGAAAATGAATGCCAGGGTCAAAGACAGAAAAAATAAAATAAAAAGGACTAACACCAGGATGAAATGTTATGATTTTAAGTGTCTGGAGTAGTATCACCAGATAGAGCACAGAATTATAGAATTTTAGAGGTAGAAGAGAATTTAAACACCTAAGTATAGCTTTCTGGTCCAACAGACATATTTATCTTCCTGATAAAAACAAAGGCTGGTTCTATCACCAGAACAAGAAGAACAATATAAAACTAACAGAGCAAATTTCAGTGAATTCAAAAAGAATTGTTAACAGGAAAAAGTTTAAAAAGGTCAGATCTGAGCCTTAGAAAGTACCCAGTAAGCCATCGGTGTGGCTTAATTATCAAAAGGTAGAAAATAAGACAAAGTACCAAAAAAAGGTGGTGGTGAGGAGGGGCTGGGAAACACCCAGAATTAAGGATTATACTACAGGAATAGCCTTGCTGACTACAAGAAGGGTGAATCCAATATAGTTTAGAAGATACAGGCTGATGCTTTATTAGGCTGTTTCGCTATTGTTGTTAACAATATTCTTCTAAAAATTATTTGTTGTCCAGCTAATAGAACAATGTAAAGTCTCTCTCTCTCCTTTTTTTGAGACAGGGTCTCCCTCTATGGCTCAGACTAGAGTGCAGTGGCTTGATCTCAGCACCATGCAACCTCCAACTCCCAGGTTCAAGTGATTCTTCCTCCTCAGCCTCCTGAGTAGCTGGGATGACAGGCCAGCTAATTTTTGTATTTTTAGTAGAGATAGGGTTTCACAATATTGGTCATGCTGGTCTCGAAGTCCAAACCTCAAGTGATCTACCTGCCTCGGCCTCCCAAAGTGCTGGGATTACAGGCATGAGCCACTGTGCCCAGTCAGATACATCACTTAACAGTCCAGCACAAGAGCCTCATCTTTCCAGTCAGTTGACAGACTTAAGGGAACTTAAGTTCGCTTTACTTAAGGGAAAGAGAAAGGAATAAGTAAAATAGGCCAGACATGCACCCTAGAGCAAATGTAAGAAGATTCCCTTAAACTTTTAAAAATGGTATCAAATTAACTTTAACAAGACAAAGTGGTAAGGTGGAAAAGCCAAAATATTTTGTTTGGAGACTACTGCAGGTCCCATGCTTTCAATTCAGCAAGAGACTAGCTAGAGTCACACTCGTCCATGCTGTGGAGTCTAAGGATACAGATACCATGCCATATCCCTACACAAGCTGAAGTGAAATGTCACACATATAATATAGAATACATTTCATTATTTTTTAACTTTGACATGATTAGGCCACAATAATATGCAATAATATGTCTTTAAATAGAATACATTTCATTATTTTTTAACTTTGACATGATTAGGCCACAATAATATGCAATAATATGTCTTTAAAAGGATCAGTTGCAGTTACTAGAATCCAAAATTCAGTTGTATTTAAAATAACTATAACTGGATTGTTTATAACACAAAGGATAAATGCTTGAAGAGATGGATATCTCATTTTACATGATGTGGTTATTAAATATTGTATTCCTATATCAAAACATCTCATGTACCCCATAAATATATACACTTACTAAGCACCTACAAAAATTAAAATAAAAAATTTAAAAAATTAAGTTCCCCAATTATAAAGGATAAAGTTACAGCGAAGAATCAAATGCTCCTTTACTTAAGCAACTTGAGATCAGAGTCATCTGGTGATATGACTTCCCAGCTCAGCATGCATCATGTTACTATTTTATTCACACACATGCACACTTCCCCAATTTCCCAATATCATAATTTTGGTTAGGTGGTTATATTTGGATTTAACATCATTAAGACTCTGTAAATGCCAATTCATAGCTGGGCCATATGGTATACAATAATTACTTTTCCTTTTGAACAGTTTTTCCTAGAGTTAAACCATTTTTTTGTTTACCTACTTTTGTTTATACTTACTACCAACTTAGCTACAAATTCTTCCCTGTCTAAATCTACTATTTCTTCAAACTCATTACACATTCTACCAATTTCGCTTTCTCACGGTCATTTCTCTCCAAATCTCCCAACCTGTTCCTACTGGGACTACAAACTATCTACTAACCTGATGACCAGCTGTCTTCTTGTGATCATTATTCCTCATCATCCTGGTGATTCCCTGGGTCTCTAGTTAGGTCATATTCCCTGTTACTTGTATCCTATGCCTTCATCTTTTTTAGTTTACTTCTTTTTGTTGAGTAATTCCTCCAATAACTGCCTAAGAAAGGGGACATGACAGGCAAATTTTTTAAGACTTTGTAAGTCTAAAACTATCATTAGTCTATCCTTAATCAATAGTTTAGCTGGATACTGAGTACCTGGTTGAAAATCACATTTCCCTATGAATGCTGAAGGTTCCACTATATTCTAGTTTCCAGTGTGATAACAAGAAGTGCAAAGCCATTCTGATTACTGATCCTTCAGATGTGACCTGTTACTTATTTTACTCTGGAAGCTCCCTTGTTTTCTAAAACTGAACAGTAATGTGCCCTGTTTGGCTTGTTTTTATATCTGTATTGGTCGCTCAACAGACTTTTCCTAACTGGGAACTCGTGTCCTCTAATTCTGGAGAGTTTTGTTGAGTTGTTCTCTATTCTTTGTTTTTTCCCTCTATTTCCACTCTCTCCTTCTGGAGCACTTAATTGAACACTGGAGATCCTGGACAGGTAATTTTCCTCTTTTTTCTCTACCATTTTCCATCTCTTTGCTCTACTTTCAATCAATCATTTTATTTTTCAAACCTTCGAATGAGTTTTTCATTTCTAATTTTTCTTTCTTTTTTTTTTTTTTGAGATGAAGTCTTGCTCTTGCACTCAGACTGGAGTACAATGGTGCAATCTCAGCTCACGGCAACCTCTGCCTCCCTGGCTCAAAGCAATTCTCCTGCCTCAGCCTCCTGAGTAGCTGGGATTATAGGCACATGCCATTGTGCCCAGCTAATTTTTTGTATTTTTAGTAGAGATGAGGTTTCACCACATTGCCCAGGCTGGTCTTGAACTCCTGACCTCAGGTGATCCACCCACCTCAGCTTCCCAAAGTACTGGGATTACAGGCGTGAGCCACTGAGCCCGGCCTCATTTCTAATATCATTTCTTATCGTTTCTCATTCATGTTTCATGGATACAACATCCCTCTTACAAACACATCTAAAGGTTTGTGTTTGATTTTCACCTGCCTAACTGCTCTTATTTCCCCTAAATTGGTGTTTTATCTTTTGGTTTGGCCTTTGTCTTGCAGAGAAGAGGTCTTTCCTCAAATGTCTGCTGATCTCTGAACATGAGCTCATATTTAAGGGTAAGCACTAAAAAAACTGGAAGCTCTGTGTGATACAGCTTGCTGACTATTCTTTATTACAGGGTTATCAAGTTGAATATTTCTTTGGGGAATTCTCAATGTCAGAATCTTTAGATCTCTTCTTTTAAAATGATTATAATTCAGAGAAAAGAATTATATATCTTCTCAACTCCTGTCTGAAGAGTATAAAAACCTGGTTGCCTGGGTTCTTAACCCTTCTATTTTTAACATGTTACTCCCATTCTCAGCATGTTTGTTGCTCCTTTATTTTGTACTTACTAGGGAACAAATCTCCAGACTTCTGCTAAGATAGCAAAAAGGCGGCTGCCTTGGTTTCAAAGTTTATAAAGGATCCATGGAATATAATCACCCCTTAAATAGATTTGCAACAAATCATCCTGTTTTAGTTCCACCATAACTCCTATTTCCAGAAATAAAGAGTGTTTTCAATTCACGAAAATTGTGGAGGTTCTATAGTGCCAAGAAGCTTCTTTCTCAGCTTTCCCACAGTGGGCTTAGGATCCTGGGATTTGCAAGTAAGTTACTATGCTCTCTTTTGGTTTTCAGTCCCAAATTTTGTTGCTACTGTTTCTTCTCCGTTCTCTCTGTCCTTGTGAAGTTATGTCTTTTGTAAAAATCCTTTTGCTTTAGCTTCAGTGAGGTTTCAAGAGAAAATAAAATTCAAGTGTATTATTTGCCATTTCTAACTAGCAGTTCCTCATATTTTCTTCATCACTCTTAATTAGGCTTTCATTCCCACCACTCCACTCAAATTGCTCACTCTTATTAGTTATCTGAAATCTCCATACTGCCAAATCTAATGGCTGTTTTATTCTCTATTTGACCTCTAAGTAATATGTGATATAGATGACCTCTTCTGCATTTATTAAATACTTTCTTTTCTTGGTTCCTGTGACAGAACATTCTCCTGCTTTTCTACTCATCTTGCTGGCTGCTCCTTCTCCTCTAATTAATACTGGCATGTGCCAGGGCTGAATTCTTCTCAATCTGTATACACTTCCTAGATAAATCACACTTCTATATGCCAATGGCTCCCAAATCCACACTCCTAGAATAGATTGTCAAATGCAGTCAGATATCCAACTGCTTTTTAGACATTTCTACAGATTTTAAAGGTGTCCAAAATGCCATTTACTTAAAACAGAACATTTGACTTTCTTCTATAAATTTGCTTCTCTCCCAGTTTTTTTTTTCCCAACCTGAACTCCATATATTCTCCCCATCACTTACTATACTCCAGTCGATTCTGCTTTTTATGTTCCTCAAATATTTCATTGTCATTCTTGTTCTCACTACCTATAAAGCTCTTCTCTCAGATCTTCACACGGCTGGCTCCTTCTGCCATTCAGATCTCAACTAAATTTCTCCCTTTTCAATGAGGCTATCTCTGACTGCCTAATGAAAGCAGTCACCAGTCTCTAACACATTATCCTTTTTTTGTATGTGTAAGACAGGGTTTCACTCTGCCACCCAGGTGGAAGCGCAGTGGCACAATCACAGCTTACTGTAGCCTCAAACTCCTAGGCTCAAGTGATCCTCCTGCCTCAGCCTCCCACATAGCTGGGATCACAGGCATACATCATCATGCCCAGCTAATTTCTAAATTTTCGGTGGTGTTGGGGAGAGGTCTCACTATGTTGCCCAGGCTAGTATCAAACTTCTAGGCTCAAGCAATCCTCCCACCTCAGCCTCCCAAACTGCTAGGATTACAGGCACAAGCCACTGTGCGCAGCCTTACACTATCCATTTTAATTCTCGGCGCAGTACAAACCACAAATTTCTCATTTGTGTATTATTTCTCTTGCTCTAGAAGGCAGTCCTCATGAGAGCAGGGACAGCTTCTGTCTTGTTCATCACTGAATCCCCAGTATCTAAAGTAATTATCAGAACATAACTGGTACTATGTTTGGTGATAAATTAACACACACACACAAATTTTTAAATTAAACTTTCCTTAAATTAGTGTGTCAAAATAGTTGATAGATTCGTTCATTTTTCTGGAAAAAATATCATTTTATGATGCAACCTTCTTTACCTTTTGTACTCTTTGGATCTTTTAAACTGATTCTTCAGGAAACTATAGGTTCAAGGTACTCTTCTATATGATCAACCGTTAAGTTTCAGAATTCTGTTTAAACAAACAAAAAAAAGATTTATTCAACTTAAATAGAAGTTTATCATTAAAAGAGTTTTAAAATAATTTTTAAACATAAAATTGAGAACTCTGTCACAAAAATGTATATAACAAATTTTAAATTCTATACATTGTTTCTAACAGAAAACAAAGTAACTTAAAACATCATGAATAAACTAAAACAATCACTTAATTCTGGTATAGAAGTTAAAAGATTAAAGTATTAAAAAACTATAACTATAAAAATGTTAATGAATATACAATATAAAAGGATAAAACTGTGACATCAATAACAAGGGGGGAGTAAAAGAGTAGAATTTTTATATGCAATTGAAGTTAGATTATTATAAGCTTAAGATAGACTGTTATAACTATAAGGTGTTTTATATATAAGCCCCATGGCAATCATATGTGAGGATTCACATAAGAAAATGTGAGGGGAATCAAAGCACAACTACCAAAAAAAAGTCAATGAAACACAGAGAAAAACAGGAGGAAAGGAAAAGAGGGACAACAGCACTATGAGAAAGACAGAAAGCAAGCCCTTCTCTGTCAGTAACTACTTTAAACATAAATGGATTAAACTCCCCAATCAAAATACATAAGAGTGGCTGAACATATTGAAAAAATAAAAAAGATCCAACTACATGTTGTCTACAAGATTCACCTCACATTTAAGAACAGAAGCTGAAAGTGAAAGAATGGAAAAATAGATTCCATGCAAATGGCAGACTAAAGAGCATGAAGACCATACTTAGATAAAAAAAGATGTTAAGTCAAACATAAGAGACAAAGAAGGACATTATATAGTAATAAGAGTTAATTCATTAGGAACATAAAGCAATTATTAATATATATGTACCCAACATCAGAGGACCCAAATATATTAAGCAACCATCAACAGAACTGAAGGGAGAAATAGCAAATACAACAGTTGCACAACATATCAATACCCCACTTTCAATAACGGACAGATAATGAAAGAGAAATCAACAAGGAAAGCATGGACTTAAACAGTGTAACAGTAGAGTCATCCTTTGGTATCTGAGAGGGACTGGTTCCAGGAACCCCTATCAAATAATATTAATACCAAGATCTGCAGAAGCTTAAGTCCGTTACATAAAATAATGTAGCAATTGCATATAACCTATGTGTCTCTTCCCCTATACTTTAAATCATCTCTAGATTACTTATAATGCGTAATACAATATAAATGCTATGAAAGTAGGTGTTATACTTTATTGGTTTTTAAATTTATATTATTTGTAAATGGTTTTATTCTCTGAATATTTTTATCCACAGTTGGCTGAATCCACAGATGTGGAACCTGCAGATACAGAAGGCCAACTGTATAGACCAAACGAACCAAACACACAAACACAGAACATTCCACCCAACAATAGCAGAATACACACATTATTCTCAACTATACAGAGAAGGTTCTCTAGGACAGATCACCTAATTGGTCACAGGACAAGTTTTAACAAATTTTAGATTGCATTATACTAAGTATCTTCTCTGATCACAGTGAAATGAAAATAGAAATCAGTATCAGAAGGAAAACTAGAAAATTCATAAGCAGAAGAAATTTAAACATACAGCTGAATAACCAAGAGTCAAGGAAGACATCAAAAGAGAAATCATAAAACATCTTGAGACAAAAGAAAATACAACATACCAAAATTTATGGGATGCAGCAAGTGTTCTGACAGGGAATCTTATTTCAGTCAATGCTTATATTAAAAATGAAAAAAGATTCCTGCCAGAAGAAGTGTGGCTAAAAAAAGGAAAAAAAAAAAAAAAAAAAAAAAAAAAAAAAAAAAAGAAAGATCTCAAACAACCTAACTTTATACCTCAAAGAACTCGAAAAAGAAAACAAACAAAGCCCATTGTGAGCAGAGGAAGGAAGTATGACTGGAGTAGAAATATAACAGTGAATAGGGAAGAAAAAAAAAAAAAGAAAGAAAAAAGTCAACAAAACTAACAGTTGTTTATTTGAAAAGCTGAACAAAATTGGCAAACCTTTAGCTACACTAAGAATAAGAGATGACTCTCTTATTTCATTTCCGATGACTCGGAAATGGAAGAGGAGAAATTACAGCTGATGTCACAGAAATAAAAAGTATTATAAGAGAAAACTCAATAAATATACACCAACAAATTGGATAACCTAGAAAAAATGAATAAATTCCTAGAAATATACCATGTACCACCAAGACTGAATCATGAATAGAAAATCTGAACAGAGTTCACAGCAGCTTTAAATATAATGGTCCAAAACTAGAAACAACCAAGATGTTCACTGACAGTACAATGGATAAACAAAATGAATTATTCATATATTCGAATGCTATACAACAAAGAAAAGACTACATGCAACAGCATAGATGACTCTACAAGAGAGTATATAGTTTTTTTTTAAAGAACAGACAAATCCATCAGGGATAATAAAAGTCAGAATGATAAAATAAAAATGTGAAGACATGTATAACTTGTAAGTATATTGAATCAAACTTCCCAACAAAGAAAAGCCCAGGACGATACACATGGCTTCACTGAAGACTTCTACCAAACAGTAAAAGAAGATTTAATACCAATCCCCCTCAAATGCTTCCAACAAACTGAAAAGGGAACACTTCCAAACTCTATGAGGCCAGCACTATGCTGATATGAAAGCCAAAGAAAATATTAAAAAAAAAACTACAGGCCAATATTCCTGATGAATACTGATGAAAAATTCTCAACAAAATAATAGCAATCCAAATGCAGCAGTAAATTAAAAGGATTATACAACATGACTCAATTGGCATTTATCCCTGAAGATATGAGCAAGGTTCAACACATATTAATAAAACCGATCAATGTGATACACTACATTAACAAAATAAAGGATAAAAATCATATGTATGAGGGATCTCAATTGATGCAGAAAAAGCATTTAACAAAATTCAACATCTATTCATGATTTGTAAAAGAACAACATTCAACTAGGAATAGAAGGAATTTACAAACTAGGGAAAGGAGGAATTCCCCTTTCTTAAAGAATAAATTGGTGAGATTTATAAATAGTTTGAAAATTATGCCCTTTGACCCAGTAATTTCACTTTGAGAAATAAGAAAACAATCAAAGATGTACCTAAACTTTTATATTAATTGAGATATTATTAAAAATAGTAAAGCTAGGCCAGACGCGGTGGCTCATGCCTGTAATCCTAGCACTTTGGGAGGCTGAGGTAGATGGATCACTTGAGGTCAGGAGTTCAAGAGCAGCCTGGCTAATATGGTGAAACTCCACATCTACTACAAATACAAAAATTAGCCAGGCATGGTGTCACAAGTCTGTACTCCCAGTTACTCTGGAGGCTGAGGCAGGAGAATCACCTGAACCCAGGAGGCGGAGGTTACAGTGGGCCAAGATCGCGCCACTGTACTCCAGCCTGAGAGACAAGAGTGAGATTCTGTCTCAAAAGAATAAAAATAAAATAAAAATTGTAAAGCTAGAACAGATTTAAATGTCTAACCACAGTAACAGTGGCATGAAAATATATCAGACATAAACCTGAACATATAAAACCGTGGTTGCTCCTAGGTAATTACTTTACGGATGGTGTTTTTTACTCTTTCTGTAGTACTTTCTAAAATCTCTCCCATGAACATGCATTACTTTTAAACTCAGAAAACTTAAGTGCTGTATTTTTTCTTTTTCTTTTAACTGTCCAGTACTAGAGGCCTAGCTATACATGAGGACGCTAATAAGATAAAACACAACCTGTTACCTATTCCAGAAAATAAAAACATAAGTAACAGAGACTATTTTCCTATGTTCTATTCATTTAAAGAAAAAAAGTTTCATCTAGTTAATAATAATTTAAAAATTATTAATTAAAAATGGCTAACTCAGGAACTTGAATTTTAAAAATTAAAACTACATTTTTCCCCTAACCTAACAACCCACTGACCCACTGACCTACTTTGGAATTTAGGTTTGTTAATTCTAATACCACAGGTATTTTGGGAACTGATGGATCTATTAACATTAATTAAAAGTAGTGCTGAAATTTAACTGACCGGTATAATACAAAACCCAAACAACGATCCTTAACTACGTTTATTACCATTTATGAAAAACTCTAACTTGCTTTTGCAGATTACTGAATTTGTATAACTGAAAAGATAATTATTTCTAAGAGTAGAACTATTTTAACTTACAAAGAAAGGCCCAAATATTGAATACTTTTTAGATTAGTTGTTTAATATACAAGGAAAAATGAAATTAAACAATAATTCTCAATTTATTCAATACTAAATGTATTAGCCACCTCTAGAACCCATATAAAATGTTGGCACAATAAAACACATTCTTGGTTTTACACCTATCTCTACAATCAATTTAAATTTGAAAACTGACTTGTAAGAATAAGAATCAGATCCGGTTTTATGAACCAGACCTCTTACAGCCAGACAGCATTCTGGCTCAAGAAAAACATCAACTGACACTACAACTCTAGCCAGCTGAAAGTCAAGCTGTGAGATACTCATTAAATCTCATTAAATAAACAAAAACTAAATAATACAGTTCTCTTAGTGGGAAAACACCATTCCAATATTTCAACTAATACATTTTTTCAAGTAATAGCTGAGCTTCCTATTCATGTAAATAGATTGATCTTGTCCACAGAGTATAGGATCACCTTATCCCCTTTTCAGAGATAAGAGTGAGGCCTACATCCATCCCCAGTCTCAAGTAAGCCTCACATAAAACCTGAAGGTGGAGAGAGAGCACACGCCTCAGAATGAATTTCAGCTGTAATCAGGTACCATACACCTGAAGCTATACCACCTGGCCTCCATCCTAACGCCAGCAGCAAGAAAGAGGGAGCCCTGTGGTAGGCAGAATAACAGCCTCCAAAGAATGTCCATTCCCTCATCCCTGGACCGTATGAAGATGTTACCACACCTGACAAAAAAAGGACATTGCAAATGTGATTAAGGAT